GACGGCTCTTGGGAAATGTCTCCGGATTGATGCACAAGCCCTCCAACCGTAGGTATCGAGCTCTGGTATGCTTTCGGAGGCTCTCTGACGGAGGCACTGCGAGCCAGCGCTGGGGCTTCCCTATGACTTTCTGCAAAACACGAAGATAAGTTAGCGTCAGGCTCCGAGAGCGCGTGTTTGGAAACTGACCAGGAGGAACTGTTGTGTCGGCAATGTCCGCAACTTTGGTTGTACTGCTCGTAATGTGAGACACAACATGGGAAAATTCGCTGAGCCAACTGTGACGAGCCACTTCGAAAAGGTCTGCTCGTTTGCGCGGGTCTGGCACCAATATCCGTCTCAAAAGATCGCGAGCGTGTGGCGTCACGTATTCCGGGAACGTCAGCGGTGTACTGACAATATACTTGTACAACAGATTGATGTTATCGCCATCTGGATTTGCTGGATCATCATCGAAAGGCAAATAGCCAGCCAACATAGCATACTACCAAATGGGTTAGCATGTCATCCAGAGGACAAAGAAAGTCTGTGCCAACTTACCAAGATTACACCGCAGCTCCAGACGTCCACTTTGCGCCCTGTATACAGTGAATCACTCACCACCAGTTCGGGGGCCGCATAACACGGGCTTCCGCAGCTGGTCTGCATCAGGTCGCCCCGTCTCATGCCTTTGGCGTTAGGCTTATCTAAGCGCATTCGCTTCACAAACTCCTTGTTGGTGAGATTGTATTCGATCTCCTCGCCCAACTCGTCGCTTGGGTCAAATGTATTCGCGAAGCCGAAATCCGTGATGATGATGTTGCGGTTGCGATCCAGGAGCAGGTTTTCCAGTTTGAGATCTCGATGAACGATGCCTTTCTTATGAAGATACCCCACACCTGATACGAGCTGGGCGAAGAGGCGCCGGGCCGAACTGTCCTTGAGGTAACGATTGTTCAGAATGTGGTCAAAGAGCTCTCCACCTGATGCATATTCCATAATAATACCGATATGGCGATCGGTCTCCACCATTTCGTGGAGTCGAACGATATTCGGGTGATGGAGATCGCGAAGAATGGAGATTTCTCGGTAGATCTTGGGCAGCCGGTTAGGATTAGATCCGAGAGACTCCCTCCGAATGAGCTTGATGGCAACCTGGACGCTGCCATCTTTCTTCCAACCCAGCTTGACCTTTCCAAACTCGCCCTCCCCGAGAGTTTGCCCAAGGACGTACTGACCGAACGTAGTCTCTTTGCGCTTGATCGTGTTTTCGTTGTAGTCGTGCCGACTGCGTAGTCCGCCGCGCCCTCCGTCATCCACACCCTCGCTGCCGACCAAAGCGAGTCCCGATGGCGGAGCACTGTCGCTAGATGGCGATATCGACGCTTCTGCTTGCCGTGCTTGCTCTCTCGTGATGTCCACTGAAGGGTCACTCACCACCACTTGGTTGATAACTGTACTGGACTCCTTTACCAAAGTTCCCAGACTGGGGATGGTCTCCATCATCTCCTCTGAGCGTGAGTCGACCGCTGAGGATGACTCGGCCTGGACTCGCCTCGATCCCATTCCGGACGCTTCCCTCGTCGGTTCCTCAGACGAGTGAGCTGCTGAACGGTGCGAGCGAGGCTCGTCGCCTCTTCTCTCGCGGTGGCCGGTGCTTCGATCGTCGGGTTTGCTCTTGTTGCGGCGCGAACTAGAGACTCTTTCGCCGGAAGATGATGTAGCGCTTGAACCATGTTGACTCCGATGAGTCGAAGATGTCCTCGGCGGCGGGATGGGAGGAGCGCCTTGAAGGTCGGGATAGACGGGCGCTCGGTTACTATTCTGGCCGGGCGTCGGCAGTGCGGGGTTCAAAGCTGGGATGCATGGGTGGACAATGGCGGAGCTTGCTCGTGGGAGTCGCTCATAGCCGAAGAATATGTTGTCCTCGGGGGATAAGATGGCTGCGGAGAACTTAGCGCGCTGCTCATGACGGCACTATGAGGGGCACTCGATCGCCGCGATGGTTGCGTTGACCGGGGTAAGTTATTGAATAACTGCTGCGGCGCATAGTCGTATTGCGACGTCGAAGCGGGGATTGGATGGGGAAGTGAAACATAAGTAGCGGAGGAATGGGCGTGTGTGTACTGAGGAACCGTTTGCATAGCAGCAGACGACATACCTTCGTTTACTGAAGGCGCAGCAAAAAAACAGATCCAAGGTGCTGCGTTGACAGTCCGAGACAGGCTCTCCAGGCGTGGGCGGCCGATGAGCGGTGTCTTGTCTATGTTTGACCAATCGCGATCGGTAAAGCGAGTACGACGAGTACGACTCCAGAGGGGTCTGTTGACTCGGCCAAGTGTGAAATGTTGTCCTGCCCGTCCAATGCGCTCGGTAGATTCGTTTTTTTATGGTTATTTACCACTTTTCAGTAACCAGAATGCCGCCAGGTTGTCCAATCGGGTAGTAAGGCTATTTCGAAAAGTCAGTTTGAACAATGGTTGGGTTCCGATCAGACGACCTGACAGCACGAGACAAGGGGAGAGAAAACCAGGATAACGCCAATCGACAGGTCTTGCTTGCGATAGAGTATTGATGCGATGTAGTAAACATGCAGACACCAGGCCAAAAAAAGAACGAAGGTTCGATAAAATAATCTGAGCAGTCAAGTAGAAAGACAAGGAACATAAAACGGGAAAAACCCGTGGTAAAAGCTCCCGAGTTTTCTCTATTTTCTCTTTTTCTTTTCCTTTTTGATTTTCTTTATGCCCTCTTCGTTTCGTTTGCAACCAGAATGAAGAGGAGTGGGCGATATCTGCACTGCAGAATTACCTTTTCGAGTTCTCCTCTTCTTCACAGATATCCCCTACCCAATTGGGCAACTCGACGGGAAGAAGGTATTTTGCGTCTCGAAGGAACGGTGATCGGGAAGACCGACAAACGCGGGCGGGAAGGGGAGATGGTGTTCAGCCTCGGAGGCGCGATCGAACCAACCACAAATTACCAAGCCTCGCCTGTGATGGGATTGAAAGCCGAGGGCAATCGGGCGCACACGCTCAACACTGGCGAGAGAATTGACAGGATGGAGATATCGCTGCGACGAGGACCATGATCGACGAGAGAGGAAGTTGCAGCGCGACGATAACGGGGTGACGAGGCAGTGTGGTGAGCTGTCGTCTTGTCGGAGAGCAGACAGGGGGTCGCAGAGTCTCCTAAGGAAAGGTAGCTAGTCTCTGACAACGGTCGGAAACGAGACCTCGATAGAGGAAAAAAGAAAAAACAAGCAAGAAACAGAAAACAAAGAAATGAAGAACTAATGGAGATGAAACAGGAAGGAAAAGGCAAAAAAGGTGAAAAGAAGAGAGAAACACGGTGAAGGTAAGAGGGGTGGATGGAGAACGGGCAAGAGGAGGAGATTGAGATGCGCTGTTACGCTGTTGCTTAGACTAGAGACCGCACGGTTTCCCCGAAGCTCAAAGTGGTTAACCACTGCTGGACTGGAACTTGGGTACACGCTAGGTTAGGTACAATAAGGTAATAATAATGCCAACGCAACTCAGCTTGGGCATAATGATGAATTAATCCTTCCTTGAGCACAAGGATAGAACTGAAGGATGCTTACTTCTAACCTCTTCAGTGATCCCTGACCTCTGAAGGTTTATGGTTGCTATAGTTATGGCGACTCAAGCGACCTTATTAACAAGGATGTGGTTAATTATCGTTACGCAGAGGCGAGGGGGACAATATCAAGTCGAGAGTAGATTTCATAGTTCAGATCTCAGAATCATGCAGAGACAATCTAAAACAGTCAGCGATTGAGCATTCCTGGCTGGCTGTCATAGAAGAGAAAGAATAATTCCCTCAACGGCTGAGAATGACGATGTTTTGACAGGATAACCAAGTACCTAGAATTTACTTCTCAATCTAGCCAGGGCATCGCAGCTGTATCCAACATTTGATAATACATCCCAATTCAGTTGCAATCACTGTTAAATCAAATCGAATTCGGTTAATTATTGAAAGGACACACCCAAAGCATTCATCATTCATCAAGGACAGCATTGAAGTCCAACGTGTATCTACAATACCAAGAACCCCTTACATCGAAGCAACTGTGGAGAGGCTGCGGAAGTCAACTAGCCACATCAGAAGCTCCACTTTGGGCTTTGAGGTACGTACTTGCTCTGTATGTAGATTGTCATATTCCATACCAGACTACAGTTGATACTTAACCATACTAACATCGTTGACTGATATATTTAGAAAAGTAATCCCAATAACAAACACATGAAACGGTAAACATAGGAGCTTACTGCCTTAGGTTACCTATTATTATAATTGCAGCGCACCAATAATAAGCCCCTCTAAATCAGGGGCACACCCAACGAAGCCAATGTTTCAAATCCTCGGAACGGCGACTCCCACTAAACCAATTTGGGTAAGGACTCTGGGGATGGCCGATCGTCATCTGAAATTGTTTCTGCAATCTGCACTCCTCTGCAAGCCACGGCGATTCGCCGCTCTTTCAATCAAGATGCACAATCAGTGCCTGTCTATCTATCTTTAACTAACCGCAGTACCTGTCCAAAGACTTGATTTATGACCTAGATACTTCTCTAGATAACAGCAGCATTCCCGGATATAAAAATCAATCTAACGTCATGAGCCTCGAACCTTGGGCTACTTTAAGTTCACCCGCTCACCTCAGCACACCAGCATCCAGACCCAGGGTACTCCGCAACGATTCTCCACCTCCTGGTACCCGACCGCGTCTCATCCTTCGAACTTGATATTTTGGTACCTAGGGATAAGGCCAGGATTTTACAACTATCAAGAATCGATCTCCCTAGCTGATAGTCTTTCTAGCAATGGCCTTTCTACCAAGTATCCAATAACTTTTATCCCTTGGATTGTTTGCCTTGAAATTTAAGGTTGACTGCCTTGATCCACTATCATTACTGGGATACTTGCATATCAAATGTGCCTTGCGTACCCCCATCCTATTTCCTCGACGTCTCATACTGGCCGAGGTGCTAAGAACAGAAAACAGAACCGGTCCTTGCGCGGTGATATTCAACATTCCTAATTCAGTCACTATGCTATTGCTGACAAGTATTAAGAAACCATGTAAACCGATCGGTTCTCGGGTTCATAAAAGTTCTATCATAAAAGTCATAGCCTTAATTGGCAAACCTAGATCCAAACCCTTGTACATACCAAACAAAATGTATGCCATCGTGCCGATCATCCAGTGTTCGGACAAAAGGATATACAAAATCAGACGAGGAAGACGAAGATGCACGCTTCAAACAACTTCTAGCGCTTCCCTCCTGACATAGCCGTTCCGCCTAACGAAACGGTACCCGAAGCCCCATAAGCGGGAGGTGGTGTAGGGCTGGGAGACGGACGTCGTGCGACGGGGTCTCGTCCGCCAAGCATAGATTGGCTGGGGCCACCTACACTGGGAGGCACCTCGCCTCCATCACCTGTACCAACGACAACTTGTTTACCATCGCGCATGCGTCCAACGACCATTCCTTTCGCGACGGATTTGAGAACAGCCTTGCGGCTCACACCGGACGCGTCAATGTACACCAGGCCGACGTTCTTGATACCGCCAGTGACATTGCTCGCCACGGCACCGGCTTCCGCTCCATAGCGATGTGCAATCATTGCGCTGGCCGCGACAGAGCCAGATGTCAGCACATTGCGCGCACCCTGCTCGATACCATCCGCCAGAGTTGAGAAGGCGATCAAGGACTTGTTCAAGATCCCCGGCTTGTAATCACTGCCATTTCCGTACTTATCAACACCCTTCTGTTTACCCTCTCGTCGGGTCAGAGAGGCACCAAAACTCTGTGCCACTTTACCAACTTGACCCACGGTTTTGGCGGAGAGATCTGCCGCGCCATGAGAGAGGGTGCCAATCTTTCGAAATCGTGCGTGGGTGGTGTCAGAAAACGTCATTGGCTTGGGATTGGGTTTTGTCTTCTTCGTAAAGCTTTCAGCTCCACTGGTTAGGACGTTGCCAATGTACGATGATCCTGTCACGATCAAGCGGGATGCCATGGCAGACTTCTGGACAAGGGTCGAGTTCTTATATGCCGGGTGACGAGCCATCTGCAAGTATTCTTCCGACACATTACCGACGCTGATTTTGTTTCCCTCTCCCTCGGCAGGGAGCTGAATTTCCACCGGTCCTATTAGTCCACTCATTAGCAAACTTCTCAGTCAGCGACAGATAAAGGACACTTACTCTTGGAGCCTGGCTTCACACCAGGTTGCTCCACTACTTGGTATCCTTCCATCTCCCCTACAACACTGCCATTCTCCTCGTCAACCAAAACAATCTTTCCATGTGCATCACTAGAGGTAGCTTGTCCGGAGGAGACGTAGCCTTCTCCGGGAGCATAGCTGGCCGGGTTGTACGGAGCGTGCTCCTTCGGTGGAGGCGCTCGCTCGTGGAATGCTGTACATTGTGCCAGAATTGATTCGAAGGTGTCGATATCTTCCTGCGTCACCTTATCGGGGCCGGTCCCAATTCCGGGGAATTGAATGCGAATGAACGCACCCGCATCGGGTCCTAGATCCCAACGAGGAATCACATAGCTATTCGGCGGCTGGTGGTAAATCTGCGTTGTTGCAGGAAGTGCAAGGTCCAACTCAGGTGGGAGGTGTAAGTGAAGATAAAAGTCCTCCTCTACTGGCCCCTCTGTGCCACCGGTCTGAGTAGTCGAAGCGGTAGTGGGAACCATCAGTAGAGAGAGGGTCTGGGGTCCGGATGGAGTGAGTTCCGTTTCTTCGCCATTCTGGATATGGAAGGCAAGGATGTTATTGACGCTGTAGAGGAGTCTGGGGTCATGGAGGGATGACATTGCGATCAAATGTGTGTCTGTTACTTCGTCTGTGGCTCGTATGCGGGGAAGCGATGACGTCGGTGTTCCAGCTGCTAAGTCGAAGGCACAAGTCGACAACTCAAGAACAACGGGCTTGACAAAAAGTTCAGAGAAGAAAAGAGATGAGATAAAGTGAAAAAGATTGAAAAGGAGAAAGGAGAAGGGTAGTGGATATAACAGGATAAATGGCAAAAGTCTTGGTGTCCTGAGCGGGGGTGCATTATTATTCTTAGGACTATTTAAATAGACTACCATGCCGCCAACTGCGTCAGGGCAGTCTTGGCACCCCTGCGCCACATGATATCAGTGATGTTGCACTGCCACAGCCTCTTTCACATGTGACGGAGTTCCCTTGAGCCAACCATAATCCATGTGGCGGTGCCCCTCTGTGTCGGCATTACTTGTCAGTTATCATAGTTCTTTGTCCGATCGCTTTCCTTCAACCTGATTCTAGAATTGAAAATGCCTAGATAAGAATCCATAAGCATAATTCGTTGTTCAAACCCCTAGCACTCACCGGGCAGCCTGACTGGTTGAAGTAGGAGCCGGAGTTTTACAACGGCGCTTCCCCACGCATTACTTCGTAGTCCAGGGACCTCTATATTTGTGGGCGGCTGCAGATGGAAGAGATGCTGCCTTTCTAAATCTGGATTCTCCTTCCCAGGATAACCGCTTACTACGCGCTCAGGTCCTTTTTTAGGGATAATGCATCAGTATGGCTTCTTTTCAATTGGTATCTGACATCCACCTGGAAGCTCCCCCCGCATACGACGTATTCAACATCCCTTCGAAAGCGCCCTATCTAGCGCTTCTAGGCGACATTGGCTATGTCAAAGACGACGGTTTTTTCGTCTTTCTTGAGAGCCAGCTTCGAAAATTCCAAATGGTTTTCTTAATATTAGGAAACCATGAGCCCTGGAATTCCACTTGGGCCACGGCGAAGGACAAGCTGAAACGCTTCTCTGATAGCATTCGCCAGAGGAAGGCTTCAGGAGAAAGTACAAATGCCGAAAATAAACTCGGAGAATTCGTCTTCATGGATCAAACGCGCTACGAAATTTGCCCAGACGTCACAGTATTAGGCTGCACGCTTCACTCCAGAATCACACAGAGCCAGGAAGAGCGCGTCTCCCTGTCGCTCAATGACTTCTACCACATCGAGAACTGGGATGTGGAGAGCCACCGTGCCGCACACGAGGCTGATCTCGCCTGGCTCAACAACCAAGTCACCAACATCGCTCAGTCGGATCCGCATCGCAAGATCGTTATCTTCACTCACCACAGTCCCACACTCGACGCTCGCGCAACTGATCCTGCGCATGGGAACAGTCCCATCACGTCGGCTTTCGCGACAGATCTCACTGGGGAGCCGTGCTGGGAGAAACCCCAGGTGCGCTTATGGGCGTTTGGACATACGCATTATAATTGTGATTTTGTCGACAGCAGAACTGGGAAACGCATTGTGGCGAACCAAAGAGGTTATTATTTTGCTCAGTCAAAAGGTTATGATCCGGAGCTGGTGGTTAGTGTATAGCTACGGCCGTACTGCGTGGTTGGTTGCTGTATAGAATTAGATCTCGTGAAACCGGTGCAACAGCATCAACAGGGGAATTTTACGATCTTTAAAGTTTTCTTGACACAAGAACAGACAAGGATACTAGAGAATATTTCATCTTATCAGAATGGCCAATCTCGGGTTCTAATAGCGAATGATCACGCTGCCATCGATCCAGTCAGGGTCCCTTTGGACAGCCGCGGTTAACCGAGGCATAATCGAGCTGGCTTTCCCCGTGATTTCGCTCTCGCCTTCTCCCCACATTCTACTCGGACCTTCCTCTTCCTCTTTTACATCTCTCTTCCCCTCTTTCACATCTTCACAGGTTCGGGATTGTCCTGCTTCGGTTCTAGAGTCTTACCATTTGACAAACTCAGCCATGGCATCCATCGCCCGTGCTCTGCGGCCCTTGTCCCGCACCGCTCCCTCCTTCCGCCTCGCAGCCAGACAGCCATTGACATACCGACTGGCACAAAGGTACGTTCGACATTGAATTTTCTTGATTTCTACATGCGGCGCAACATTGGTTTGGTCAAAGAGTTTCACATGTACTGACTTCCCGATTTACAGCACCCATGCTTTCTCTACCACGTCCCGGCGGCAGGACGTCGATCTCTCTAGCCTGACCCCAACTCCGATCACTCATCTCTCCGAAACCGAGTCGCTGATGGCCGAAACCGTCTCCAAGTTCGCACAGGAGCAGATCGGACCCAAAGTGCGGGAAATGGACGAGTCCGAAGTCATGGACCCCGCACTGGTCGAGCAGCTGTTCGAGCAAGGGCTGATGGGCATCGAGATTCCCGAGGAGTACGGCGGAGCCGGTATGAACTTCACGTCCGCCATTGTTGCCATCGAGGAACTGGCCCGCGTCGACCCCAGCGTTAGTGTCCTGGTGGATGTGCACAACACCCTCGTCAACACGGCCTTTAACAAGTGGGCCGACGCCGCGCTCAAGAAGACGTGGTTGCCTAAGCTCGCTACGGACACCGTTGGTTCGTTCTGTCTCTCTGAGCCGGCGTCCGGATCCGATGCCTTCGCCCTGCAGACTAAGGCGGAAAAGACGGCAGATGGGTACAAGCTGAATGGATCCAAGATGTGGATCACCAACTCCATGGAGGCTGGGGTGTTCGTCGTCTTTGCGAACTTGGATCCCAGCAAGGGCTACAAGGGCATCACGGCCTTTGTCGTCGAGAAGGATACCCCGGGATTCTCCATTGCCAAGAAGGAGAAGAAGCTGGGTATCCGGGCTAGCAGCACCTGCGTGCTCAACTTTGATGACGTTGTCATTCCCAAGGGTAACCTTCTCGGAGAGGAAGGCCAGGGTTACAAGTACGCCATTGGCTTACTAAACGAGGGTCGTATCGGTATTGCCGCTCAAATGACTGGTCTGGCATTGGGTGCTTGGGAAAACGCCGCCAGGTAAGACCACACTCCCCCCATTGAGCAAGATCCTTATTTCTACCGCAACGTACCACTCACATCGATGACAGCTACGTCTGGAATGACCGTCGTCAATTCGGTCAGCTTATCGGCACTTTCCAGGGCATGCAGCACCAGCTGGCCCAGGCTTACGTCGAAATCACTGCCGCTCGGGCTCTCGTCTACAATGCCGCACGCAAGAAGGAAGCCGGCCAAGATTTTGTCCAGGACGCCGCCATGGCCAAGTTGTACGCCTCGCAGGTTGCGGGCCGTGTGGCCAGCTCCGCCGTCGAATGGATGGGCGGCATGGGCTTTGTCCGTGAAGGCATCGCAGAGAAAATGTTCCGTGACAGCAAGATCGGTGCCATCTACGAAGGCACAAGTAACATTCAGCTGCAGACAATTGCTAAGCTCCTGCAAAAGCAGTACACTAAATAGATCCGGAGCTGTTTCTTTTTCTCCTATCCACCCCCTTCCGTTTCCGTTGCGTACATAGTCGGCGTAAGTGTGTTATAGGATGTTTGTTTTGAGCGCAGTGATGGGGGTCGGCTTTGACCGACGGCAGAACCACCCCATTATCCTATTGGCAGCGCCTGCAAGTCTTATTTGTGGAAGGCTGACGACGATCACTTTGCATGTATGATATCAGCATTTCGGCTATAGATAGAAGTGAGAATATTTCTTTCGCCTCGCTTCAGAACATAATGAAGCTGTCATGGTTCGATGATAAAGATTATTCCTTTTTCTTCGGCGCCGGAACTGTGGGCGTATTTCGGTGCTGGAGAGCTCGTCTCTTTGTCTGCCTTTACTGTCCTGTCTCAGTATCTTGGTTGTCGTTGGAGCGAATAGAGGTGAGAACCGACTCGAAATTGCTCCTAAGAACCCGTCGCAATTGATTTCACGACGTCCTTTCACTGATGTACATGCTTCAGCGACGGATAAGGAGCATTGCTACTGGAAGCTTTTCTACAAGTGAAGCGGCCTCAACCTCGACTTGACCTCCGGTGACACACCAAGTCCTCCGAGCATGCGTCGAGCCTCTCTGGTCGAAGCGCTAGCTCCATCGACATGCGTCGAGTCTTCTTCGACGGGAGCAGTGAATATGATACTCAAAATGTCCCATGAGATTCGGGTACCGGGGTGGAAAATGTTTGGAGTTCCCGGTGAGTGAGTTCAAGACTGATGTGGCCAGCCGTAGCTGTAGCCGTGATTACCCCTTGGCTGATTTCCCCCTGGCTGATTAACGGGATGAGGGTAGGGCTGCGAGCCTTGAAGTACTGGATACCCGCCCGCTGCCCGATCTGGTGGGACATCCGGCATTGGCATGGGCGGTTGGCTGGGTACGTATGGCAAAGCTTGCTGAGGATGACGTAGAATCTGTTCTCCACGGGCACTTTCCGGTCCGCTGGCTCGAAAGTACTGGGGGTATTGTTGGAAAGAGGGATCCGGCGCGTGGGCGACGTTAGTGTTGAAATTGGCGTGCGGGATTGCGTTGGGTATTGTATGAGGAGGCTGGGCCTGCGCCTCGAACCCGTAAGATTCGGCCCTGTTGCTGTAATCCGCATCTGATGATTCACATATAGATGAGGAGCGTGTCGAGCCGTACGTCTGCCATTCCTGCGCGACAGAAATCTGGCTCGAGGCGGAGAGGACAGAGGGCGCTCTTGACACCGGAGGTACGTTCAAGGACTCTGAGTAATGACTTGGAGGCGTCGCTCCCGCTGGGCTGGTGTATGATCCTTCTGTGAGGTCGAACCGAGGCTTTAGCAATCAATCCAGCCGCCATTTGTGCTCGAGGGGGCATGGGAAATGCTTCCCAGTCACATACCGGTACTGCTATAGCTTTGGTTACCAGTGAGCATAGCCAGTTGCTGCCTCAGGCCCTTAATCTCATGCTCCAGGGCAGCATTCCGTCGCATCACGTCGTCGAACTGCTGATTCTTGACTTGAAGCTCAGCCACTTGGTTCTGCAGTCGCTCGATGTGTTCTTTCGTACGCTGACGAATGGTTCTTTGTGCCTCTCGATCGTTGGCGCGCTTTCGCGCCAGCTGTTCAGCGGAAAGAGTTGTCACTTTACGAGTTCCCGCGCGGGATTCTCGCTTCTTTGTCGCCGGTTGCGTGGTGTCTTGGTTAGAGCTCATCGTGATGTACTGACTTTTGCAGCTTACAACGAGTTGTTTGCTACGCGTTTGATCTGACCTGTTCGTCAGGGAAGTGCTCGTCGTGATTTCGCATGCATTGACCAGCGATATCAATGCCTATCATACAAGATTGCGCACAGGCCCCGGAGAATCGGAAGATGGCAGTCGAGGTTTCGATATGTGACTTTGGTCGTTCCATGTGCGTGGGTCGCGGTAAATGTCCGGGTTCAAGACACTAGTCTAAAGGTCACTGACGATAATAGTCTACTGACCATCAGATAGATGATGGAAGAGGTGCCAGGGTGATGGACCAGAAGCCTTTTGTGGCGCTCGAAGAAACGTCTCTGGTCGAACCACTTGTCTGATGTGAAACGCCCGGACCACAACTAAAAGAGCCCCCAGGTTCGGCATCTTTATATACGCTCGGAGTTAGGGGCATCCGGCCCTAAAAAGTACCCAAGAGTGGACTCGTTCTTTGCGTTGTCAGCACAAGTGCGACAGCCGATATCTGCCAAGTTCGTAAAAGGGAGATAGGGTCGCCAGGTTACCAACCATCCCCTCGAGCAGTTGGGCCGCCAATGAAACAAATTGCAAGGACGAAACAACCTGTGCGATTGGCAAGAAGAGGGATAGCGCCTTTCTCCAAGAGGCTACTTTGATGGCCTATGGGTCGGCGCCATTGCACTTTCCGATCTTCCCGACTACGAGTATGCTCCACGTCTGATTCGCATCAAGAGAGCCAGATGATTGGTAATGGGCAGACCCCCTCACAGATATTTCCATTTGCTCAAATGCATTCAGTGGTATTGCAGTAGACTTGCCCAAGCATATGCGCATCACTGTCAGAGACGAGGAGGGAATAATTCGTGATGGCGACTGCTACCCCTCGAGGCTATGAACTGGCTATGGAGTGCTTACCAGCCAATAGTATTGCAAACTGGCACCCCGAATAGACAGCAAGCGCTCATTACATTATCTAATTCTTACACCGTCTGCCTGACCTATGGGGTAGATAATTAAAGGAATTAGTTAGTGGGCCCTGGAGAATCATGGCCACATGGTGAGCCACGGAGGAGCATTAGAAATTAGGCCAACCCCGGGCATATCGCCGAGGAACTCCAGCGCTAGGATGACCCCAAGTCCGAACTTTGTTGACTACTACTGAAACAACTGCATCAATAATGCATTGGGGGAGGGGTAGCACCTGGATGATCGCAAGTCAGCTTCTAGCAGGGACTCAAACTACGCAAAAGAAAGGAAAAGAAGAGAAAGAAATGCATACCGGAATAATGAGTGAAGGATATGTGCAGCTTCTTCAGGCTTTTGGAAAAAATTGAAGCGAAACATGCACTAGTCCTTGGCTTGGGAACGTTCGTTGCACCTGTCCTCTAATAGTTGGATTCATAGACCTATGATTATTTTCGACAAGCGTGCCTATCATGACACTATCCAGCTAGTCCAGGAACCTTCTCTGTGTTCTTCTCTAATGTGATCTGTGAGCCGAGGTGTTTTGCACAAGATTTTCGATCAAGGAGCAGTCCATCATCCTCATCCGTCAACGATCTATTCCCAGAAGGGAAATCTGATCTGGCGTCCCTTTGAAAGATGTCTTGGATCTTGGAACTATGGAAGCAATCCAGAATGCGGAAACCATGGGACTACTCCTGGAAGTCTATGAGGATTCGACGAGACTGGGTGACGAGGGACCCTGGAGCCTTGATCGTCGTCCCCAGTTTCCTTTAACTACGTGATTTGCAGGAATCCGTTGACCAGCACCGTTCCGGCGAGATAAACCATTGACCATTGAGTGAGTGAACCGGTCAAGGGTCCTGTGGTTTGTTTGTTTGTATTTCTGGGTCTGCGGACTGCGAAAGAGCAAGGTTGTGATGCATGTAGACCGTCCACCAGAGGTCATCGGCAATAACTCAGAGCCAAGAATCAAGAGAGCCAGTAAGCTAGAGCATCCACGTCGGGAAAATTTCACGGCGCACTCAATAACCGAATCAGACATTTCAAGGCCACTGAACTTTCTGAAGGCTGGCTGAACAATAATCGAAGAGCTATGCATGACGCAACAGCGGCTTGGAACGGGAAAGAATCGCCTCAGGATCATCCATGCTTTACTATTCAATCTTGAGTCGACTTTGGTTCTCATTGGATGCGAAGACATAGATTCTGAGTAATTGGGCGACACGGCGAGTCCGAAGATGTACCGGTATGGCACTCAATCACATCAAGGCTAGGACGTATGTGGGGCCTGACGGCTGCAGACCATAGTTAACTACTCCGTACCCGTACTTTTATTGCTCAATCCGTTAGTGCTTAGACTCGGAGTATCCTTACCTCTCTGGAAATGGGTCCATTTGTTCCAAGCTTTCATGTCGACCCCCTTTATACCCACTGGACTAATCAGGATAGGCCCTAATGATTACTGATACCCCCTTACTCAGTCATATAAACAACGTGGCTTCGTAACTTGACCCCGATTGCCCTAAAAAGGAAATGGTGACATAGTCAACAGTCGCGGACAGCTTGAACTGGTTGCTTTCGAAAACTCAAGGTCCGCCATGGCAGGATGACTTGAGATACAGAGCCCAAGTCACATGTCCTGATTCTCTATCGATTGTGTTCATAAAGTCGTTGCGAAGCACAGAGTACAATTGTCGGGGTCAATATCTCTTATTGCCGCACTCCGTATGTGGATCAATCGCGACTCGGCTGGCTTCCGGCCGCATAGTTTGAACTAAGGGCTTGAGAAGGAGTTTGGTTCACGCACACAATCGATTTGCAAGGATCCAGATTCCAAAGCGGCTAAGTTCATTGCGGACAATACCTTACCTAATACAGGAGTAGATAATGCAAACGCCGTAGTGGCGCATCAATATCCCACTTCCAACTGCCATCAAATCGTAGCATGAGCTCGAGCATCCCGACAGCTGGACCCTCCTCACCCCTGTACCAGGATCAGTAGAAGCAGTCAGTCATCCACTTGAGGATATCTATCGGTCATCCCTGCATTTTCGGTTGTCCACTGCGAAGCTTTCATTCAGTCACGGTTCTCCGGCCCGCAATCGCCTTGTTTGCATGATGTAATGCTGTCTGGTGAGTAAACAAACTGTTGGATACGAATGTATTGCAATTCTCGGTATCGCCTGTCATACGGCCGCTTGTTTCAAGCTCCAGAATATCGTCCAGTAACGATACGTCGGATGAACCCAGAGTGGGATTATTCACTATTTCTCATCTCTTAGATCTTCCTACTTCTTCAAGAGCAAGCAATAATGGGAGAAAATGATTTGAGATCCTCGGTATCGAGGCTCTTGTTGGGGCAGCATAGATAGCACTGATGCCTGAATTCTCAGGCTGCTAACAGAGGCCGCCCGATACGTGACAGTTGGTATCTTCTTCGATTCTTCCTTCATGCAGCCTGTAGTTGAGATTGACTCTTCTGGATGAGTTACCTCCAAATAAAGGTGCAAATCGCGCGACGCTGAGTCAAGATGGATCCAAATTATAAAGCTCGGAAAGAGGCATTTGTCTCAGGTCTTGCAGGAGGAAGCATCCTGGAAATCAACGCCGTCACCCTGGTTGCTTCGGTTAGTGTTACTATCTTATTGTGGCTACTTCGTCTACATTGCTTCTCGACTAATCGAACCTCTTTGCGATCGATCAGGTATCCGTCTTCCTTTGGTCAATTCTACAATCTCGCCTATCCTTTTTCACTCCCTACAGCGCCGCCGCCCTCCTCGTTGATTTCCTGCTCTGTGTACTAGCTATCTTGTTCGCAACCACTTTATACTCTTCGGCGCCTCTTCTTCTCAACCTCCTTCTAATTTCTCCCGCTCTGCTGATACTCCTCTCTACGAAACGTCCTCGGACACCGGTCAAAGCGAAGCCTCCTCGCCAGTCCGCTGTAGCTGGGAAAGATGACCCGAAACATGCGACAGCCTTGCCAGAATCTCTACCCATTCATCCATTTCTCACGACCTACCGCGCCGCCATGATGATTATCACGTGTATCGCTATTTTGGCTGTCGATTTTCGCATTTTCCCTCGCCGATTCGCCAAGGTAGAAAACTGGGGTACATCACTCATGGATCTGGGCGTTGGATCTTTTGTCTTTTCGGGCGGAGTAGTATCCGCTCGCTCACTCCTCAAGAGCAGGATCAATGGCTCTAAAAAGTTGCCTCTTACCAAGAGGTTGATTGCGTCGACGCGACACTCTATACCTTTGCTCGTCCTCGGCCTGATTCGGCTATACAGCGTCAAAGGCTTGGACTATGCGGAGCACGTCACCGAGTACGGCGTGCATTGGAACTTCTTCTTTACGTTGGGGCTTTTGCCTCCGTTCGTGGAGATCTTTGACGCCCTGGCTACGCTCATTCCGTCATACGAAGTTCTCTCCGTGGGAATCGCCGCCTTGTATCAAGTCGCCTTGGAGTCAACGGACCTAAAGAGCTACATTCTCGTCTCCCCTCGTGGGCCAAGCTTGCTGTCCAAGAATCGCGAAGGTGTCTTCTCCTTCTTAGGTTATCTGGCGATTTTTCTTGCTGGCCGTGCGATTGGCATTCGGATAATCCCTCGCGGGACGTCTTCCTCAAGAAGTCCAGAACAGGCCAGGAGACGCGTACTGATCAGCCTGGGCGTGCAAGCGTTAGCGTGGACCGCCCTCTTTGTGTTGAATTCCACTTACGCGATGGGATACGGAGCTAATATCCCTGTCTCGCGCCGCCTCGCTAACATGCCCTATGTCCTTTGGGTTTCGGCGTTCAACAACGCGCAACTCTTTGTATTCTGCCTGATCGAAACATTCTGCTTTCCTGCAGTTCATCGGACAACGACGCAAGAGAGCGAATCTGAGCGAGTCGATTTTGCTACGAGTCGAATCATGTCGGCGTTCAACAAAAACAGTCTCGCGATCTTTCTTTTGGCCAATCTTCTGACTGGAGCTGTGAATCTGAGCATCTCCACAATTGATGCTAATACTACGCAGGCCATGGCTGTTCTCATTGGATATTCATCCATTATCACAGGGGTTGCTTTAGCGCTGCATCATACCAACATCAAAATACTGCCATTCTAGGGTGTTTACGAGCAATTGGTGGTGTCGAAGATATACAACTGTACCATATTAGCTATACAAATATAAGAGTACGATGTCCAGAGACACATGTGAGCCGCGGTAGTCAACTACGTCAGTGGGGAAGCAAAGCATACTATCATGAGTTTAAATAAGGAGTTCCCCAACACTACTCCTACTGTCGATCCTTTACTTTAGAAAAAAAAGAAAAAAGTTGCTAGGCGAAATGGAGTCCACTAAAAACGAGCATCAATTTGTTCATTATCCTGAGGTCCGCGAAGGACCGTCCGTCCCCTACCAGAACGAGACACAATCGATTCCCGTCTTCCGCGGCACACCCTTGGCCATCGGAGCTGCCGTGTATGTGGATCTCTATCCCGAGCACAAGCTACCATCACCATCCATCTCACCCAACTGACATTTCGTCACAGCATCCACTCCGTCGGATTTGTTCAAAGCTTCTTCTGGCGCAATGCCGGGTTTGACGTGATTCGCGAAATCCCACAACTGCGCGACTATGCTCCTCGCTACGATCCAACTGTGATTCCGGTCGGCGACTCGAAGCCTGCAGCCACAGAGGAGCTTCCACCATCGCCAGCAAGCAGAAAGGGTTCTGCAAACTACTACACTTCTGCGGACTACCATGCGCTGTACAAGTCCGGGAAACTGACTCCGACTGCTGTCGTGGAGGCACTGCTACCCCTGATCCGGCGTGATGTTCGACCCCCGGGAAGCACTCGGTCGCCTTTGTGGAATCGCAGGTAGAGCGGGTTCGCGCGGCGGCGGAAGCTTCGAGTCAAAGATACAAGCAAGGTCAGCCCCTGGGGCCTCTTGACGGGGTGCCGGTCGCGGTCAAAGATGAGGTGCATGTCGAAGGGCACCGACGAAACCTCGGGAGCAACCTGGACTTCAAGGGAGGGTTTGAGGGCACCTCTTGGTGCGTGCAGAAGTGGGAGGAAGCTGGTGCTATTATTATCGGGAAGACTACCATGCATGAGCTTGGTCTGGGTAAGAATCGAACCTCCCCAGTAGTCCTGAAGACCAGAAATCTCACAAGCACTCCCGGAGACAGACACCACGAACAACAATCCGAACTACGGGACACCCAGAAACCCGCACAACCAGAGCTACTACTGCGGTGGCTCCTCAGGAGGGTCTGGCTATGCGGTCGGAGCTGGCCTGGTGCCCATCGCGCTGGGCGCGGACGGCGGAGGCTCAATCCGCATCCCCTCTTCCTTTTGCGGGATTTGGGGCCTGAAACCCACACATAATCGTGTCAGCGGCTTCCCAACGGCTTCGCTGGCTCCAACAGTCGGCGTCTACGGACCGATGGCAGCCAGCATCGATGACCTCGCGCTGGCCTACCGCCTCATGGCGGCGCCCCGCCGGCAACCGAAGACCCCGTCTCCGCTACCTTCCCAGACCCCATGTCAAGCATCTCATCTACTCATCAAAGGCCCCGGAGCAAGACCATCGGCATAGTCCGCTCCTGGATCGGCCGTGCCGAGCCACCCGTCCGAGCCGTCTTTGACGCCGCTCTCGACTTCTACCGCAAGCAAGGCTACACCATCGTCGATATCGCCATCCCCTACCTCCCCGAGGGCCAGCGCGCACACGTGCTAACGATCATGGCCGAGATCGCGTCCGGCCTGAAACCAGCGCAGATCAGCGCTCTCACAGCTCCCAACAAGGTCCTCGTCAGCATGGGCATGTGGCAGATCACCGCACAAGATCTCATCGCCGCCCAGCGCCTCCGTAACCTCCTCATGTCCCACCTCGCCCACCTCTTCCGCCAACACCCCGGTCTACTCATCCTCACCCCGACATCTCCCATCCCCGGTTGGAGGATCGAAAGCGAGACGGATCTTGCCCGCGGCGTGTCCGACGGCAGAGCCTCCGTCCGGAATATGGAGTATGTCTGGCTGGCGAATTTCAGCGGGTGTCCGGCCATCAGTTGTCCCGCTGGGTACGCCGACGGTGATAAAGGGGGCCGTGTCCCCGTCGGTGTAATGGCTATGGGTGAATGGGGAACGGAAGAAGATCTCATTGCTTTTGCAAGGGAGGGAGAAGCGATCTTGGATCTCCCTGGGAACCAGCCATCCAAATCCGATCGGCCGGATGGAGAGTCGACTGGCTTGAGGATTCCGGGCGGTGACGGCTGCCTATGGGAGGATGTGATTGCGAAAGCTACCGCAGAAGGCTCCTCTTGAGTGGTACACCTATATACTGAACGGGATGAAACTTATCTTCCGTATATAAGACCGTAGTCTCGCGATCCCTGCGTGTGCTTGTTCGCCTTTTGTACAAACATTCTGGCTTGCTGCTAAATGTTCGATGCGTGCTTCCGATCGCACCTACCGTGGAACACGACATGGTTCTTGATTGAGATTTGACATGGGATAAATCCTACGAGAAGGAGGTCATAGTTTGGTATGCGAACGATCAACCACAGTCAGGATGAAGTATATAATATTACCATGGTATGCACAAAAATGGACTGACCAGCAGCCGTGAGAAATGCCATAGTGATTCTCGATGAGTTCTGCTCTCGACGTATAGGGGTCATGGACTAGGGTAGATCAGATCAACGTCGTAGACGCATAGTCGGGACTGCCTCGTTGCAAATAAAATATGAAGGTGTCCTTCGCTTCCTTCGTTTGAAACGCTCAAAACCAGGCTCGTACAAAATTCTGGGGTGCAAGAAAGTGGACTACTAGCAGCCAGCACCCATGATTATGACTGCAAGGAAAAAATTGCTTTCCCCAAATTTTCCCGTTTCAAATCCAGATGCCTTCTCCGCGATGGGGAGCGTAAAACTCGCAGCCTAGTCTAGCGGCTTCGCCTCGGGATCGAAGCTGTTGTAAAATCCGTTCTCGAGGCGGGATATCATCAGTCAGGTCTTCTTTGATGTGTATGACATAGATAGATAAGCCCGACAGCGGAAGCTGTCCAGAGTCACCGGTCTGAGCTTCTCCAGGACTGGTGGACTGTGGTTCAGGATCCGCGGGATTTCCAGTATCGCTTACATCGTCGGGCTCGTAGTAGCTGGGTGTCGGCTCGTCATGAACCAGCTCAGGGATCTGAACCAAGCCTTCCGCGGTTGAGTAGAATCGCGGTCGCATGTCGACCGTAGCAGAAGCCATGTCGGCCCTCTTGCCGGCTGCAATGGAGAAGCTCTGAGGACGCTTGGATTTCGGACTCACTTGGCCCCCACTTCCGCCGTACGTGTTGGAATCTGAGTGTTTACGCTTTCCGATGCTCGGTATCGCGATACGCGGGTGCCGGGCCTCCATAACCTTCCCGGCCAGCAAGGTCAGTTCCGCAATCAGGTGTCGCGGACAGAGATGACCGTATAGGGTTGCATCTTCGACAGAATCGTCATATGAGCATTCAATAAAGATGGCGCGCAATTTACCGGTCGCAATTTTCGGTGCTGCTGCCTCCCAGACGCGTTTATTGCGTGGGTCAAGCGATACACAGTCGGGCTCGACGTCGCCGAAGATAATGATCTCATTGCCAGTATCGTGATCACGGATGAAGAATGCAGAGCTCTCCACTGTTGCCCAAATGGGCTCTTTCGAGTTTGCTGAGAGCATTCGGGGAGAGCGAGCTGGAGAATATATCCTTCAAGTCCAAAGTCAGTGGGATCCTCTGGCGTTCCAGGGTGGTAGACTTACCCTGCGTCCGTAGAGTGATCGACAGATATAGCTCTGGAAGGCAGCATCAGTGGATCAGCGGCAAAGACTGAGCTGCCCACGCGGTGGTGAGTACCAGTCTCCGGGTGAAAGCGTTGCCTACATCGCCCATGACTGACGCCGAGGCATCGGGCTAGAAGACCGTCACAGGCCCGGATATACCCCTTAGCATCTCCACGCCCGAATCTTGGATTCCCTCCTTCAACGAGACGTTGATATGTCAGTAGACCTGCCCCGCCATCTTCATCGGACAGATTTGGCCAGATCACGTCGTTGAACATATGGTTTTTTATGGCGGCGACAATCGACGGTAGAGCGGCCAAAGGTTTGGGTCCGTTTCCTGCTTCAAGCATGGGTGTGTTGATCGCCAGGCCGGACAGGTGATCCAAGTGAGCATGCGTGATCAGGACAGCTCCAATGATGTCACGGAAGATATGTGCAGCATTGGCTTGAGCCGACTTGTACGGCATTCTGAGGCCGGCAAAAGGCCCTTCATCCATCGTATACGAGCCATCTCTTAATTCCACATTGTATTGCTCCAGAGTGTGAATAATTCCTGAAACAAGGGTACCTGCGTCAACCGCAATCACCGAATTCGTCGACCAGTTCGTCGATGTTGATCTGACAAGAAGTCCAGTGAGGCTGTCTTCTCGAGGACCTCCCGTTGGACCCTTCATGAGACAAGATGTCAGTTACCGGTTTGACTGCATGTTAGAACCCGACGCTAGTCCACACAGTTCACCGTGCGAATGGTTTACATATGGAAGAGACACTTGGCAACCGGCAAGGTGGATAAATCAACGAGGAAAGGGACAAAGAAAAATTTCAGGAGCCATTTTATTTCATAGGGATAGCTAAACTTTTTGCCAAAGATCATGTTTCCTGATATGTAGATCCGAGGGCAAGAGTTGAGCTGAGAAACAATGGACTTACCAAGACAATCACCTGAAAGGCTGCTTTATCCGCCATTGTCAATAAGCTGTCCAGCCTTTCCGTACACGCTCCCGAAACAAACAATCGAGCAACTTCGTTTCAATGCGTCGGAGTCTCGGCAGCTCACAAGACGATGCTCTGTCTCGGAAAATTGAGCCCCGAGATGGGCAATGTCTCAGTACTCTCGAGGAAGAGAGTGGATGCAGAAACCGAGCAAATGCGAAGTCTTATGTGTTTACCTATAACCAGCTCCGTATGCGTACTAAGCACCCTCTATCAGAACTCCTAGTCCACAACTCGGAATAGACGAGAACGAGGGTCGCAAAAAACAAAAGTTTCGTGTCATCCGCAAGTTTCGGGGTGCAGTATGTGAGTAAGCGACGCGCGTGACAGTTCTGTAGGATCCCTGGTAGGAACCGGCTGGCTGCAGAGCAGGAGGTGTCCCAGAACTTAGGAATCTCTTTTTTTCTGGGGCAGTACGGGGTTATGGGAGCCTGTGCCCAGACTCGTATCGCAGCCAACAGATGATGGTCCAGATGGTAGGGATGCGATTCCAGAATGGCGGGTTGGAACACAGACGGCTCTTTAATTGGCGATAGTACCCAGCAATCCAACCTAGAGCTCAGATCCGAGCACACACAATGTGATTGTTTTCTCGTCCACAGAGCTGCAAGGCTCGCATGAGTCCACCGCCACAAAAGAATTCCAGTCAGGATTTCGATGGCGGGCGGTCGTCCAAATGGACCGACACCATCAAACTAACTGTTCGAGGGAGTCTCCTCTCAAGGATCACACTAGCGGGCCGTTTTGAGTGGCTGAGCGAGGTCGGCGATAAGGCCGACCGACCATGGATGACTCTGGTTGTGATGGGTCTGGAGAGGAATCTGCAACTCAATATGAGATAAGATTAAGATGAAGAGAGAGCTGGAGAATAGTTCTCATCTGCAACCCTTTTTTAGAAGCAATACGATGAAGGAAGTGACTGTCTGTTGGCGAGAAAGCGGCTACAGACAGTGAAGGACGAAGTTTCAGGTGGTCGACGGTCCGAGGTCACGTCGATGAGAAGCTCAACCATTCCAGACTTCCCAGCTGTTCATCAGTTAATGGTACCATCTTGTTCGAGAGAAACAACACCACCGTACAAGCAGGAGTACAGGATCCTTTTTTCAAGAATGTATGCAGAGGTTTTCTAGTCGGCGACCTGGTAGATGGACAGACTGGAATGACGTTACCACGCAAATGAGCACCTATTGTAAACATAACATGTTAGGTATCTGTGGGGACAAGATGCTGCTGATTGGTACCTTTGAGTCTGACTGCTGAGATCTGGTGGAGATCAGTTCCTGCTGGGGGACTGGATAAGTAATTATTTCAACCATCTCCCTCTAAGATATCACTGTAGGTAGTAAATATCTACATAGCAGATTATTGCTATAAAGCAGAGTGGGCGCCTGAGGTCGTTCATTACCAATTCCTGCCTTGCAGCGTTATCCTCTGGGATCTCCAGTTCTTGCTTTATAATCTTCCACTGTTTTGAACAATGCAGAACCTCTGCATTATTGTCCGATGCTTTATAATTAGATATGTCCTTTGAAAAGGAGTCTGAATGGACACTAAGCAGCAGGCCTCCATGATCATACCACTCCTCAGAACCAGCTTTGATGGAAGAACTGCACAGGTGTGCAGGAACATGTGAATAGGGATACTACATATCCACCAAACACCATACAATGGAATACACCTGGGATGAGATGCGCACCAGTGCATGCAAATATCTCAGCGCAGGTATTGCACCAACACCAGACTACTCTGCAATACTTTGTTCCCTTCTCTATTTTGTCTCGTATCCAGAATGATGAACAGCACATGTTGCATCTCAAATCTCCTAAGGACAAGGTATCGTTACTCAAGGAGCAGTCACAATCCGCATTCGACATGGAAAGCTCGAAGGAGGAAGGACCTCCGTCGGGAATTCAGTCGGATCCGCTTATGCTACCAGGTCTCTCTATGTCCTTGTTTCATGAACACCGGGTCAGAATCGTCTCCATGCCTAGGAGGATGTTTCTGATGGTTTAAACTCGCAGGACCAATTTCGCATAGCTTTGCACCCCTCAAACATAACTGAGCGCTGCACGTAAGTTCTCAAGCAAGGATGGAAACCTCTTCGACGACTGATAGGTCTCAGCTCCGAAAAGACTCTATGGGAAATCACTATGGTGCACGTCATGAACAGTATCACTGATGAGCCAGATTGGGAGAAAAGGGTAAGAGTCGTGGCTCAAATTCTGCTGCGCAAACATGCTGAAACTAGTTCAGATCTTTGACGAGAATTGCGCAAGAGAATGGCGGCAGAAGTTCCTGGACGTCTATAACGGCCTTAGCCCCGAGATGATGGATTGGGTCATCGAGGAGGTCAAGTTCAAGGCTGAAACATTCTTCAAAAAGGGAATGGTCACTGCGTTGGACGGAGACGTGGTCAAATCCGACATTGCTATCACTGAAGATATCAAGCTTGCCCTCCAGGCGGCTGTGGAGCCTCTGGAGAACATTGATGAGAATGACAAGGACTATGAACCCGGCTCGGGAGGACAGGTCGTCAACTTGGTTGATCCGTCGTTGTTCGCGCTCGCTTATTGTCGTAGTCAAATACTCCCAGACAGAACGATCGGACTCGATGACTATCTATCCCATTCAGGAAGAGCCAATGTTCTGGAAGTAAAGTGGGAAGAGCATGATCCCTTCAGCGTCATCAATAACGGCAGAACCAGAACCAAGCGTGAATTTCTTGACCTGTTCACGGCATATAGTCTCGATTACCAGTGGCTGCCATGTGAGATCAAGTTCAGGGATACTACTAAGGGCTGCCGTATTGCGTCCTACATCAACAATCTGCGCCCAGATCACCATCCCCCGCTTTATGATGCTCTCGAACAGATCATCACAAGCGCCATTCCCCTATGGAACGTGAGTTTGACCCCTTTGAGAACCGAGCGACTACATCGCCGAAATAGGATCAAATTTGAGCGAATTGAATACCTGCCGAGCTCCAACTCGCTGCGTGAAGTCCTGGAGCTTGGGAGTCTGAGTTATTTTGAGGATATCTATGACCGTCTCTGGGAAAGAGAGAAGTCTCGTCCTGTTAAACCTCCAGAGACCGGGCGCCTTAATCCCTGGCTAGATCGACTGAGAAGTGAGAACCCTATTGATCTTCAAACCACATTCCGTGCCAGAGGATTGCAGGTCATTGTGCAACTGGCCAACATCGAGTTGACACCCGAGACGCCAAGATACACCGGGACTCCCTGGCATTTCCAAGGGCTAATGGTAAGTCATAATCCCTCAAGTTCTCTGCTGCCATCTGTCCCATGACAGGTTGCATGATCTGATTTGCCCGAAGCAAGAACATCCATGCTGACAGAAAATCTCAGAATGAGCATTTTTGCGCAACGGCCATATACAACTATTCCTGCGAAAACATCACCACTCCGATAATCTCCTTCCGTCAGAGACTTTCACCCGACTGGCTGCACGAGAATTACTTCGACAAGGGATTCGGCCTCCCCTGGCTGCCACAGGTCTTCGGGTGCAACGAGGAAGAAAAACAAATCGTGGATCTGGGCCAAATCTCCTGCCGCGAGGGCCGTCTTGTGACCTTCCCAAACATCTTCCAAACCAGCCTCGCCCCCGTGCATCTGGTCGATCCGGGTAAACCAGGTTATTGCAAGTCACTGGTGTTGCATCTAGTCGACCCTTATGTGCGTATCGTCTCGACCGCCAACGCCCCACCCCAGCAGGCGGACTGGTGGGATGGCTTCAATATTCGAAGAGATGTTTTGGCTCAGAAGGGGCTCCCAGTAGAGCTGCAGGATATGGTGCTCGATTATCTTGAACCATATCCTCTCACTATTGAAGAAGCCCGCGAACTCAGACTTAACCTCATGAGAGAGCGTGATCGTATCAGGAGGGAGCAGACTGAAAAGCTGGAGACCTGGAGGTTTTGATTCTCCCTAATCTCTATGCTTATTAGATGTCATTCTAGCGGCTTGAAAGACACGAGCCGAGGAGCTTGCTTCAATCAATTACCGTTGCGCAGTATTCTCGTCGAGGAAGATGCAGTTGGAGAGACAGTGTTATTGGGGCTTATTGGGATAAAAGCTGCTTGAATAGCTTGGAAACGGATTGAACTCGACGGAAGAGCATCTGCTTCACTTTGGGGATACACCCCTGGGATTAGGCAGTCACTAAGATAGACGCGAGGTATCTCTTCGACGCATGGCTGATTGCAGCTATGTGAGATATTTCAAGGACATACGGGGGCTTACGGGTTCACATTCAGCTCGCACTGAACGGAGAATACAACCAAGTCCTTGTGCTGGCCCTATGACTTATTTAAGGCGAAAAGCGAACCATAAACAGAGAACGAAAATATTTCCAATCCCTATACACGTAACTTCATATCATTGCCAGCAAAGCAAGGTGGCATAACCCATAGAAATCCAGTCATAGAATGATCCGCCCATTGAAACGCCAGACCGGACCCGCTAAATTTGACAGTAAGACAGATGGCAAGAAGGTATACACAGAATATGAGGGTAAATAGACAGGGCGTTTTCCGAGGAAAGGGAATGATGCGTCAATGTAGGCAAAACGACAGATAGTAACGCAATCAGTGATCGCCGTCCGGCCTCGAGGTATTGTCAGCTTGGTTGCCCACAGCGGCGTCATAACTCGGTATCGGCGGTGAGTTCTGATTTGGCAGGTCTCCTGTAATGTCACTACCTCTTCGACTGCCGTCCGGGCTCGAGTACTCGGGAGGCGGAACCTGATCAAGATCGCTTGTGTTCAATAAGGGAGTTTGTTCGTCAGCAATGGTGTTAGCATGACTTGACCCTTCACCGACGTCTTCGTGAGAGGGAATATGCGCAAGTGGAGCGAGAGAAATATCCGTTGGTGATCGGACCGGGCCAGGGCTACGAGAGGGCGGGATCCTGACAGTCGAGTTTGTCCTTGCGTCCTGATAGACCCGCTGAGAGATCTGAGCAGCGCTCTCGCGACCGGACTCAAGAAGGATGCTGCCCTGCTCGCTTCCGTATGGCGGCGGAGGAGCCAGGCTGCCCGTCATGGGAGCCAGACCCCATTTTTTGACGTTGGCTTCGATGAAAACAAATCCCATCTGGCCAAAGTTCACATGAACGGTGCAAGGACCATTGGCACCGACAGTAGGGAAAAAATTTTGTGTCTTAGCCCCATGGACCACATCCTCTAACTTCTTGCCGTTGCGAGTGAAGAAGATCGTGCCGGACCGGGGTCGGTACCCTACGCCAACCACATCGCCTTGCGCTAAAGGAGGGCCATAGGGCGTCGCCGAGAATGGCTGGTTATATCGGCGGTGACCTGTTGACAAGTAGGCAACAGAAGTTTTATGGAAGCCTGACAAGGGGAGGAATTGTGTTAGCAACAGGGATGCGAGAGAACTAGCGACGAATATTCGGACATTGACATACCTGGGAGTCGAAATAGCGGATACGGTTTTGTGGTCATGCCGATGCTGATGAGAGTGCTTTCTGGCTTCTCGTAGATCTTCGCTTCCCAGTAATAGACGTCATTCTGCTTAGGAACAGGCAAGTTGGTCTGCACACTACATTCCGAATCATAGAACTCGATTTCCGTTCGGCCTTCGACGAAGCAGTTGGCAATTTCCAACTCTGGTTGGAATTCCCATGCCGAGACACCCTTCTCCTGTATCGCAAGGAACTGAGATAACGAAATGTCGGTCTGCATCGACTCGGGCGGATTGGCCTCCACGAACGCTGGCAACCGTCACAATTAGCATTGATACGTAGCCGGTGGATACTCCCATAAACTCACACTTCGCTCTCATATATTCCGATCGCGACATATCATCCATAACCTCCAAGGCCTCCGCCTCCTCGCGCGCAAACGCCTGCTCATCGTCAAATTCGCCCGGTCGCCCAATACGGTCAAGAAAAATCCGGCCACGTCGAGTGTACTTGAAGAAGAAAAAGATAGCGAGAACGAGGACAGCAACAGTCGCAGAGCCAAAAGCAGACAGGACGCCGATCAAGATACCCTTGCCGGTCGAACCGGATGAGTTGCCACTGACGCCAACCAGGCCGGCATCGTTCTGCGACGTTAATGACAACAGAACATGTTCGACATTTTGGGCGATGACATCTGCGTCTGTAGACGGGAGAGGAGTCGAGCTCGATAGGAACGACGTCGGGTTCCTTATCACTGAGGTGGTGAGAGTCGAGGGAGCACCAAAGATAGCACCAGGCCCCGATGCCTCAGATCCCCGCATCGTTCATTGACCGTCGGGGCAGAGTCGACTGGCTTCGATACTTATGATGTTCAGATAAGGAACACAGAATTAATTACAGAAGATGAATAGACACGCAAAATGTGCGAAAGAGAAGATGAGACGAGAGCAAGGAAATGGAGAAAAGGTTGGAAGAGAAATGGAAATCCCAAGTCGAATAAGAGAGAACGAGAGCGAGCGCCCAGCTGGGGCGTCATTTGCTGTCTGTATGTAAGTTACGAACAAGGCCAGACGATCAACAGAATGCCGCTTCCGGGCAGACAAGATGCATTCGGAGCATATGCAGCAAATCAACCAGAACCAGATAGTCACATATACTAATTCATGTTTAGATGGGCATTTCAACCATGCGAATAGTCTCTTCATACTACATACTGAGCTCGGATTGTCCTTGACTTTGAGTTGAAAGATGTAGGGTCCTCTGAGCAGGGATGGATTGTGTCTGCCTGTTGTATGCCTGTGATAGGTAACTTACGGTAAATACAATACCTCCTACGTCAATGCTGGCGTTAAGATAGCGGCGCACTATTGATGGACAGACATCTCATGCCCAAGAGAGAGTCTCCTTCATTGCATCCCCGATGCTAGCCCTTGATCGTCGCGGCTCCTTGCCTTCCTGCTTTTTCGCGGCCTCAAACACTCACTACCTTTTGAGACCTTTTGCTCCCTTTCGTCCTTCTGTTAGCTATTGAGAAGATGCGTGGCTCAGGGCGGTCAGATATCGTTATCAGTGCTGTTGATGCCCTTGATATCCGCCTTACCCTGACCAGCAATGACTGCGATAAATATCCAGGTTCGTAGGGTGCTCAATCTCCTGGATTCCATCCCGCTCTCCCCCTTCAAAGTGTGTTTCTATCCGAAAAGGCGAGGCTGACAACCTCGCGGCGCAGCAAAACAACATGCTCGCAGAGTGGCTGCGAAGCTTGGTATCGCGGCTGGTCTGATTTACCTTGTTGGTCAGCCTACAATCAATTGGGGAGATTCAGATCAGCCGCGTCCGTTCCGACAAAGGCGATACTTCTACTACCTTAGCGGGGTTGATGAGGCGGACTGCTATCTGACATATGATATCAAGAACGATCTCTTGACGCTCTATGTGCCTGATTTCGACTTGCACCGGGCCATATGGATGGGTCCGACTTTGACAGTGAAAGAAGCTCAGGAACGGTACGATGTCGATCAAGTGCGGTACTATGCGTCTCTCAAGGGTGACATCCAGCGGTGGGTGCATAACTACAACAAGACGAGTTTGTTATATATACTCCATGATACCCAGAAGCCCCAGGTGTTGTCAAACGAACTTCGCTTAGATGACGAATCGCTGTTACCCGCCATGGATGCAGCCCGGGGAGTCAAGGATGAGCATGAGATTCGGATGATTCGAGAAGCGAACAGAGTATCTGCTTTGGCTCATCGCAAGGTACTCGAAAATGTCCTCCGAATGTCAACAGAGGCAGAGATCGAAGGTCTTTTTCTAGACACTTGCATCTCCCATGGAGCGAAGAACCAAGCATATGAAATCATCGCTGGGTCAGGGGAGAATGCGGCCGTTCTTCACTATGTGAAGAATAATGAACCGCTTCAAGGAAGACAGCTGGTCTGTCTGGACGCGGGTGCCGAGTGGAACTGCTACGCCAGTGACGTAACCCGAACCTTTCCCCTGGCCGCCGACTGGCCCACGGCGCGGGCCAGGGACATCTACCAGTTGGTAGAAGAGATGCAAGAAGAATGCATCAAGCGTATACAGAAAGGCGTGCGATTTCTAGACCTACAGGTCCTGGCTCACGTGATTGCAATTGAAGGGTTGATGCGACTAGGCATCCTCAAGGGCGGCTCAGTAGAAGAGATTCGTGAGTCCGGGGCATCGACCGTCTTTTTCCCGCACGGGTTGGGCCATCACGTCGGACTCGAAGTACATGACGTGTCTGCGAAACGGCTCACGGCTTTGGAGGGGGACAAGGAATACTACAGCTCGACATTGGTGCCGTCTATGAGCCATTGTCCCTGTACACTTTCCGCACCATTATTGGAGGAAGGTATGGTGGTCACAGTCGAGCCCGGCATCTACTTTTCCCGACTGGCTCTGGCGAATGCACGGAAGCTGCCCTTTGGAAAGTATATAAACTTTGACGAGGCCGAGAAATACATTCCCATTGGTGGTGTGCGCATTGAGGACGATATTTTGGTGACCAGCTCTGGGCACGAAAACCTGACTACAGCTCCCAAAGGGGAGGAAATGCTGGAGATCATCCGTCGGGGGATCGACAATTAGCCCGGCTTTCTAATTTCAGCTTTTGATGAAGGACGGTGTGCTGGGTCATGGATGGACACATTTTCATTGTCGTCGTGGTTTCATCATTGTCGAAACAGCAGATAAGGGCCTAGAACCAGCCTTCTGGGACTGGGACCACCTAATACCTATTGTAATGGGTGCTTACTGATGGAATGGAATAGCATGAACATACAGAAGTTTCCAACCAGCCTGTTTCACTACACACTACTCATAAGTGAACAAACCAAGCATGACGGAGGTTCGGATAGGATGAGAAATCACGCATTGCGCAGTCCAGGTAATTTCCCTCGCAATGATAACCTTTCCATCAAAAATGTCGGACCGTACGGCATGATCAGATTTGCCACTCTGTTTGGCATTAGTATTGCGAATTGGCGAATTGGCATGGCATTATTTGGCGCATACAGTAGCGGAGTTTTTTCTGTCTTGCTCCGACTTTCCGAATTATCCCCTTTTCTCTGTCGGAGTCATACCACCTTTTCCAGTAAAGGGGGAGGAGAAACGATATCTATATTAGAAATAAAGAAATTTTCTGTGGACCGGGTGAGGTCATGAATCATCGAGCTTCTTGTTTCAGACTGTCTGCAGGACATGAGAGGATTCTTCCAGGTCTCTCCTGAGCTCTCTCTCTAATCCTGCAGGCATGACAAAATTATACAACGAGTTAATTAATCTTCTCTAGTCAAATTAGACTACAACTAGAATCTACAGTCGGACAGAACCGGGCAAACTGTTTTTTCATCATTCCTGGCATCGGATACTCAATGGCTGGTAGTTAGACAAAATTGCTCAATGTGCTCAGAATATGACTCCATAGTTAGGCATCATCTACCTATACTGTCGATGATTCGGGATGCTTCGCGCAATTCTTCATGCTGATTAGTCCATCTGTCACCATAAATTTTCATATTAGGTACCCCTGCTTTACAACCTTCTAGACTTTGCTTAGTGGATCTTCGTCAAGGTGGATCCGATTTTCGGGACGATGAGTTTTCACTCCGGCAGCCGTGCAGACTTAGAGGAGGATGGCGTATCCTCATCGGCCTATCCCTGACGTGATCTCTGATGGATTACCGGATTGGGCCGTAGTGAGTCACACCACAGCACCAGCTCATCGTCAGAGCTATGCCTACCTGGGCTTTATATACCTTGTCGTGTTTTGTATATCATATTGGATCTTCCGATCTTTTGTTTTCTTTTCCTTTTTCTTTTCTTCACCTCATCTCATCCTTCCCAGGGGTGATGGTCACTCCCCTCTTGCTGATTCTCTAAAAGTTGTTTACTCCCTCTCTTATATATCCAACCTGCCTATACTTTTACTATCACCCACATCAACAGGAGAGGAGTTCAAAAAGTGAAACGAAAAAAAACATACTTCCTTCGTCCTTCATTTTGAACATCGTCCTCGCCAATTCCCTCTCAAGAATGGGACAGAGACATAACAGACGTCGAACACGCCCAAGATCTCGGAACCGCAGCTCCAGAGTTGACTCATCCGATTCTTCTCCGCCCTCTACGAATTTCTTCGGCTCAAACGTTCCCTTTGCATACTGTGTGAGCAAGTCCAGGGCCGCCTGCAGTTCACTGGACCGCTTCCCGATTCCCTTCGCCCAGACCTGGCATCATGGGTATTCGGGAGGGCAGGTGCGTGAGCGCAAGTCGCCGCTGGAGGCAGAGCAGTATCGTCTTTTTGGAGGTGAACCGGGTGACGATGTAGACCTCTGCTATCGCATGCTGGAGTACTTCGGTGGTCTCGATTATATCGACCCGTGAGTCATCCTCCTTGACAAGCTTTTTTCTTTTGAACCATTCTGACTCTCAATCTCGCAATAGACCGCACTCCTTGAAGCTGCTACCTGGATGACGCTGTAACGAATCCGCCGGCCTTGTATCGCTGGTTCCGATTTTCTGTTCTCATCCGGGCATTGCGACGGAGAAGCAAAAAAGCAAAAATAAAAATTCAATCCGATGAACGATCGACCCCCTATCGAACGCCACGATCAGGACACAACACACAACACACAATACAAGCGCCAACCCCCTTCCAACTGGCGAGGGCACCAGTTTACATGGAACCCCAAGTCATGACTTGCAGCAATGAAAATACCCGTTGACCTGTTCCTTTCCTTGGGAGTACAGCCGATCATGCGGGTATTGGATTGGTCTACCAAACACTTGGCCATGTGAATCCTGGTTCAGAATATTCCCACACGATGTGGCAACGCTCATATCGAGAAAACCGGATGACCTGCAGGCCGGCTTGTTTTCGCGGGTTGAATTCGCGTCCGACCTTCGAATGGTTGTTGATGCTTGAGTTCCCCGTGAACAAGCTTGCCGCGGATGGTCACATTTCTCATCTCCACCCGACAAACAACTCGTGAATCACAAGTTGTCTGCAGTTTACACTGCACGCAACAGTGTATGGGATTTTCCTGTCACGTCAGTTTTTGAGAGGGCAGCGCGGTTATCCTCCTCCACAGACTGAAAATTGGAGGACTGGGACCTGCACTTAGGCTATTGCACAGGACAAACTAGGTTATCGAGGCTCGTTAGGCAGAAATAGAGGTCAGGACTGAGTCGTCCATCGAGTAATGGCAACTGCGATGTCAGTATGTCAGTATGTCAGTATGTTTATGATAATGAGCCAAGTACTCTCTGTACAATAGAATACAATAGAAAATAAGACCACGAGGATTTTCTTTCTCAAATCTCAAGTCTCGATAGATAGACGTTTTTCAATCACGGCGTCAGCATCGTTTTCATCATCATGGGAGTTGAAGCTGTAAGGTTCGATGATGAATAAACAGCCTTGCGTTTATTGAGGGTCCAGCTAAGCCGTATGAGGAAGGCGGTGTCGAATACCCTCCCCGTAAAGGACACGGTCAATCACAAGTTGAAACCATCGCTATGATATGGTAATTGGGATGCTGCATACTGGACAGCATTTTCCTTTGTCCTTTCCACTCCTTTGTCACATCTTTTAGAGACTATGCTCCTGGAGGTAATATCTTGACTTGTTTGAACGACAGATACCATCTTCCATGAGAGATCTCTCTTATAGCTTGCCTTCTTTTCTGCTAGCTCTGATACCCCAGCGTCACTGAGGGCAACCGTGTCCGCAGTGAAATACCCTCGCCATGTCGACAGATTACAATTATGATGAACAGGTAGAGACTTTTGCCTCAAATCCATACTTCTTTTTTTTTTGTCCATCTGATACTTAACATCTGTCTAGGGACAATTTTTCCCGTTCTTCATCCTGACTCTTACCGGCCTCGTCACCCTCCCTCTCACATACAACCTTCTCAAGCCGAGCAAGGGTGAGTCGCAGAAGTAGCTTGGAAGCATAAACGGAGCCATGAATGACTGACTGTTGTGATCAGAGCTCGAGAATACCGCCCCCCGGATACAATCAGATTACAAGCCAGAACATGGCGATCTCATCGAAGCACAGAAGCGCAAACGCCTGCGCAAGGAACGCCGTATCAAGCGCATAGTGACCGTCATCGCAGGCTATGCTATCATGGCATGGATGGCCTATCTGATCGTCGTCACTGCGAGAACCGTACCCAAGATCTGGGATCCATATGAAATTCTGGGTATCTCAAGGGTATGAAATAAGTTCCACCCTGGCAGAATGTTTCGCAAAAGCGAAGAGTGCGAACGATCGCTAACTTGCTTCCCTTTTCTAGAGCGCGGACGAAAAAGCCATCTCCAGGCACTACAAGCGTCTTTCTCTCATATACCATCCCGACAAAATTCGCCCTGATCCCTCTAAGAACGAGACCATCGAGACTCTCAACGAGCGCTTCGTTGAGCTGACCAAAGCCTACAAAGCGCTGACAGATGAAGAAGTGCGGAATAACTACATTCAATACGGTCACCCCGACGGCAAACAGAGTTTCAGCATCGGTATTGCTCTCCCCAAGCTCATCGTTTCGGAAGGAAATGGGAAATACGTCTTGTTGGTGTACGGAGCTCTGCTCGGTGTTCTGTTGCCTTATATTGTCGGAAAGTGGTGGTATGGATCTCAGCGCTACACCAAGGAGAAAGTTTTAGTCGCAAGCGCCGGCAACATCTTCCGGGAATACAAGGAAGACATCACCGACGGCGGTATCATCAATGCGCTGTCTGCGGGCGTGGAGTTCAAGGACATGCTCAAGGGCTCCCACGCGGAAGCTGGGCTTGCAAAACTTGAGAAGAAGGTTTTGGCCGAAGGTTCGATTCTGGCGCCTGAGACTCGGAAGGCTCTCTCACAGATGGACGATTCCACCCGGCGAAAGGCGCTCGCATTACTGTGGGCTTATTTGGGCAGAATTGACTTGGGGGATGCCACGCTGAATGGAGGTAAGATATGGCCCTTCTGCATGTCTAAAAATCAGTCCGCTAACGAATACTCGTTCTTTGTGCAGAGAAATACGAGGCTGCTCCAATTGCCCTCTCTCTGAACGAAGCGTTTACCGCCATTTCCCTCGCCTTTGGTAACCTTCACCCTATTCTCGGCTCCTTCCGCGCATCCCAGCATCTGATCCAAGCTGTTGCTCCGGGATCGTCGCCACTGTTGCAACTGCCATACTTCAACAACGAAGTCATCAAGGCTATTGAAGGCGCAGATGCCAAGGATCATTACACCGTGCAGAAGTTCATGAGCTTGCCCGAAGACAAGCGGCGCAGTTTGACCGTCGGTGCTGGTCTTCTGTCCGAGAAGCAGTACTCGACAGCCGTGTCCGTCGCCAAGCAACTTCCTGTTCTTGAGGTCTCCAGGGCCTTCTTTAAGGTGATGGGAGAGAAGGTCATTACCCCAAGCAGTCTGGTGCAACTGGTTGTGAAAGCCCGGTTCATCCCTCCGGGCTCCACCAACATCCCTGAAGTTAACCCCGCCGAGCTGGAAGACGTTGACCCAGATGAGGACGACCTCGACGCTCTCATGGGCCGAAAGCCCCCAAGAACAGACCTACCAAGACCGTCAACGGCCAACAAGTCGAGAACAAGATCGAGACTATCCAACCCCCTCTCGCGCACGCACCCTACCTGGCTCGCGACCACTCTCCTCGCTGGCACATTTTCCTGGCCGATGCCAAGCAAGGCAAGATGGCCGTGCCTCCATTTACCTTCACCACCTTCGACAAGCCCCTGTTTGACGAGGCAGGAAAGCCCACCTTCAACGTGCAAACACTTAAGATGCAGTTCCAGGCTCCTCCTCAGGTAGGAGACTTCACCTTTGTCATGCACATGATGTGTGACAGCTATCTGGGTCTCGACACAAAGCTTGACATCACGCTACATGTCGACGATCCAGCCAAGGCGGCTGCTCTCGAGGAAGAAGACGACATCAGCGAGCCCGATGAAGGTATGTTCTATTGCATTTATCTTTCTGCATTGTCAAGTCAAGTCACTAAATCAAATCTCCATGATAGATTCTATTGCTGGCCAAATGCAGGCCCTGAAGACCGGCCAACCGCCCAAGAAGAAGGCACGGAAGCCCTCTGATGAGTCTAGCGAGGAGGAGAGTGATACGGATGGCGATGCGGGAGATACCAGCGACACGAACACAGAAACTGACGTTGATGATTAAGGGAGTCTTGTTCTGACAGCCCAGAAGGGACATTCAAGGGCAATAAAAACGGAGAACCACCCATGATTTCTCCGCGCGAATGATACACTCAGTCAATATAAGCCTCGCTTTTTAAATATCTATCCCCGCAATAGGCTCGTCCATGGTTTGTCTGCTCCTGGAGTTATTTCCTGTATTGTACATGTTAGATTTGCATTTAGTCTGGGAGTCGAATCAAACTTTCTCATACTTCATATAATGTTTGTTAGTTCTCAAGGCGTCAATTTGAACTCTCTGATGTTGACGGTCGAACATTTTCAGACAACAATACAACCGGGCATCTTTTTGAGGAGTTCTCGGGCTGATAGCTCGGAAGGCTTCATCCCGCAGTAAGTAACATCCCGACTCAGGACGAGATGACCAGTGTATGAATTAGTCCCTTTGTAAGACATATCTCAGAGCAGAAGCGGTGATATGATACTCAACAGGCAGGTCGTCAGCCTGGAATATTCCCTGCTCACTTAGACAAAAACGAACTGCATTTGGATATCTGATGATGGTATCTCAGGGCCTTAAAACTAAGCGATAACGACGGCATAGGCCATGCACAATAATGAGCACCGAGAGACGGGGCATGAGGGCAAGAGGAAAAGTATGAGAGGATAGGCTATGGACGTCAAGGTCATCTAGAGAAGGTGGAGGGAGAACAAGGCCGTATAGATCAGACAGAAGAGGATCGGAAGGGGAGGAGGAATTCTTGGCTCCGATGACCCCGAACGGACGTGCTAATCGCGTGAGTACGACCAGCCTGGAACAAGAGGGGGATGAATAGGCGGATGAATAGGCTGCTGCTCTTGCAGGTGGACATCGAAGCCCCCAAGCATATTAACAGGCATCTCGGTAGCAGACGCAGGTTGTTGAAAACCAGGCCCGGCAGTCACGCAAGAGCCAAGCGACTCTTTGGCATCCGCGTTACAAGTATCTAGATAGTAAAGGTACGAATGGTTATGGCCGAGCACAGTTGCTGCTGTGCCCAGACATGCAGTATCACCAGCGAGGTTGTTGGTCCGAGACAGCGGCAGCCCAGCAAAATCCTGGTTCGAAAAGCTATGATAATGCTCTGAACGGACTGTCTGAATTGAAGGGAAGTTCCACTTCCATCCAGTCCCCACAGGGGAGAGGTCGACGGGACTGCAGTTGCTGGACGATGGCTCAGGCGGAGTAGCTGGTTCTGGAGAGGCGTCTGTCGTTGCGCTGCATTCAGCCGAAGTGGACAACAAGCGCAAATACTGTAGATCTTCCGAGTCTTCGTTGCTGTCTTCAGGGTTCTCCTCAGCCTGCTTGATCAGTCCCAAACGATCCAAGATAGCGTGCGTCAGGGGGTATCCATCAGAAGCTTCGGGAAGAGGCTCTCCAGGGAATCCCTCCTTGTTCAAGGAGAGTTTGTAGAGTTTCTGCAACGCCTTGACGACCAGTGAGTGATGCGATTCGAGCATTTCAACGAATCTGTTGCAGGCGGGTAAGACTTGTCAGACTCAATTCCCTTACAAATCAACCAACACCGGGGGAAGGCAAAGCAATAAGCGTGAGAGAAACACGTGAGGAAGTAGTTGAAATAGTCTCACCCTCGGGAGTAGACTTTCGTCTGTGTGGCCTTCCTCTCTCGGAAGAGGCAGGGGTGGTTATGCGCTGAGCAACGGTTGCATGGCTGCTTTCCATCACACTATTACAGGTCAGCATGATTGAGCGTCCTCAGTTCTGGAAAAACATCGTCCTTAGTGTCTTCTCGGGCAACCAACCTTGGTTTTCTTGACCCTGCAACGATCGCAAGCTTTCAGGACATGCTTTCGCTTGACTCGAAAGAGTCGCTGTTCCGACTTCTCTTCGCCTGACCCAGACCGAGGATCCGGCTGCGATAATGACGCCAACGCTGCGAGATCACAGAACGCGTTTGGATAGCCCGGTATGTGCGACTTAGGGCAGAGCTTCGGGTGCCGTGACATTTGGCTGATTGCAACTGCTGTGAGAACTATTGTGCGGTTTGAACCAAGCAGTGGCTGGCGTGTCGCTTTGACAAGACAGTGAGCTCAATTGCTACTCCTGACTAATCATTAAAACAGTATTAGAGACGGTGAAGGAGGAAGGTGGGGCATATGAACGCGACAAACGGCGACATCAAAGGAGAGCAAGGGAGGCTGAGAGCGCCCGCGGTCATTATACATATCAAGACAATGTCCGACAGAAGAAACATACGAATGGTAATGGGCCCCGCATACGAGTCCCCCACCCTGATGTACACCGCATAGATGTTGCTGATGACGTGGAAAACGATCAATCATGATGTTGACCGGCACGGGTCGCTCGACGTCCCTAACAGCGCTGTGGCTGTGTTAGATACATACACCAGGGCCCTCATGGCGGCAACTGGCCGCCTAGCCTTGTGTTCGTTGAACTCGCTGCCAGTCTGGTATCCTGGTAGAATTCATCCGTCATAACGAGCCAAAGACGGTCCGAGCCGTCGTAGCAAAAGGGGCAGTAAACATAGCATTGTGAGTCGGCACTGGCCGGATAGAACCCTTGTCATTTGGGCAGCGAAGCGCAGAAGACCAGGGTCAGGATCACCATCTGACCATTTTGCGGCGAAATGTCAGCGACAGGTAATACCTGCCGTGTTGCATAAGTGCACAATCCTCATCTGCTTCCCTTCAGCTTTCCCAGCAGTGACACATACCTTGGGGTAATATGGCTCCAAAAAATGAGTCAGTCACACCAGAGAGCTCGTGCCGCAGGAGCAAAGGTTGATTCGAGACGGTGAGGCATGATAGACGCCTATCGGTGATTTCGACCACTGTCATTGGTGAATGGCTGGCCAGCGCAGTCCCCCAATCGCAATCGTCACACCCTGTCCATCGGTATGTATGCAGTCAATGGGCGCGTGCCTTCGTCTGAGTTCAGTGTCATGCCAAGGCGGTATAGTAGCTAATCCAACGTTATCCAATCTTCGTGGCACGGTTTTGCCTGTAGTCAATGTCGAAGCCTGCATCAAGTTGGGCGGATAGTTCACATCCTTGGACAAAGTTCTGTGAGCTGTGCCACCGATTGCACTAGCGAGATACTTGTAAGCGGGACATCCATAGCCCCAACGATGTCAGCTAGGACAGACGATATTGGGTTTGGCAAATTAAGTGCATGGACAATAACTGGGACCAGGCAGTGACATTTCTCGCTGTTGTGTGATGAGTAATAGTGCCAGGAGGACGAAGGACAACAAGCACATCACATGACGGACAATATCGAGTCAAACAGTCGGTAATGACTGGTAGAAAATGATACCTGATGAAAATCCCAAATATAAAATGAAGCAGAACCAGGGATTGTCCCAGTGATGACAAAAGTTGATGTGCATGAGCAGCCTCAGCCGATCAAGCCCTGATTCGACTGAAAAGGTGCAGAGGGGCGGGGGCGGCATGCTAAGACCGCATATCACTCTGTAATGCATGGGCTTGTTAGGAAAGTACCGTGCATAGCAGCAACAGCAACTGACACGTCTGAAATGCTATCAAATGCTCCTGGTGATAGGGAAATTGACAAGGTGGCATAAGCACACCTTGCTCGATGCCCAGATGATCTTGCTGATCAGTAAATCGCCCGTGCAGGTTGAAGAAAGCAAATCTAACAACGACCCAGAACCGGCAGCGAGAGAAATCGGCTGAAGCAACAGGACTCTGTAGATGGTTTTTAGGTCTGATCTCACCCGGTCCTTACCCCTCTCTTAAGACGGATGATTAAGGTCAGGGGAGATACAGCAGGAGTACTCCATACGTAGTGTACACGCATTGCCCAACTCAATTTTCCCTTCACTACAAGCAACAGCGTGTATGCGATGGCCTTACCTAAGACAATTCGAGACCGATAGAAGAAGAGTTTCCCACATTGAGACGCACGGGGAGAAGACATGGGGTTGTATGCTTGCAGTAGTTTCGCCTTCCTGCAGCTTTGACACTCGTAGCTCCAAGAACGGGGTCAAAGAGCGAAGGTCGCCGATGAGAACCCCCTCATTTAGTAATTCGATTTAAGTAAGACGTATAATAATGGCAACTGCAGTACTCGTATGGTCGCAGATGCCACTTGAGCATCGCAAAGATCCAATCACCAGGATATTGTTTTGGAGATGTTGCGATGCTGTCAAGTCGAGAAACGGCGATCAGAGTCCCCCAGGCCGTGCTACATCGGTTGGTCGTCGTAGGATATACCTCTGCCTTGGAGTTGAAGTTTATTACGCGTTCAGACGAGCCAATTGACGGGTCTTGATGCCGACCAAGAATAAGGATGAGGACTAGATAGACTGAGGTTGAGGATGAGAATGAAAATGAGTGGGGGAAAGTGCGGAGCCAAGTCGAAAGAGTGGTGATACCCGAATATGGCAGGTCGGCATCGTCAACAGCAGCAGCAGCAGCGACAACAACAGCAACTATCTGCAGCCTCTTCCTTACAAAGTATCAATCAAACACCAGAGCAATCAATGAAAGACAGGCTCATCCACAAGAGAAGAAGTGAGGACCTGAGTTGGTTACATGAACGAGTCCCATGATTCTCACAGCAGTTGGTCTGACTCTCTGTCAAGGCCCTCTGTGCATGCCAACCTGCATGTTGTATCAAGTCATCCTGGTATTGCGTGCATGGAATGACATAAACAAGCATATCTATCCGGCCTTACCCCGAGAGCTCGTACGCCGTCTCCGCAAGGGAAATGGATGCTGTTAATCGGGCTGATAATGTACTGGCTAAAAGCCGAATAGTGCCTAACTGGTGCGTTCAAGTTTCAAGATGCGCCATGATGGTTAACTCTAAGTGTCATTTCAGTTAGTGCCAGGCTTGCGGTCGAAACGTCAGCCAGGGTGACGACTGACCGTCTCGATTTGGGGCAGATAAAAATGTAAATGCTTTCTTTTCCTCTCGAACACAGCACAGCCGGAATGCTACCCTGCCAAAATATCACATTAAGCTTGATTCAGGTAGCACAAAGACCCCAGGGACAAGGCTCTTTTACTCTCAACAGCATGACCGGATAAATATCCAATGACTAAACTGAGCGGTTGCCGGAGAATCTTGCCTTTTGTAACATGCCCGACGGCGAGGTACTGCTTCTGTACAGCAAACATCGACGCGAACTAGAAGGACGAGATGGGACGACGAATACCAACGTTGCATCGTTCATCTACAAGCTTAAAAGGAGATACTATAGACTAAAACCATCACCGGAGACAATATAAACCATCCAGGAAGAATGACTCAGGGGAAAGGGATTCGCGCCAGCCATTAAGAGGGCTCAAAAAAGGCAGTTTGTTTGTTAATTTAGGTCATCTGTCAGGCATCCTCGTTTTACGAGTGGTCACCTGGAAGCACAACACTTGCCTCACCAGCAGCGAGCAAGTCGAAACTTTCCTCGCTGGTGGCTGTCATAGGAGGACTGTAACCTGATACATCGTGGAGACTCTTCTCCTCGAGACTCGACAAGGCAGCAGCTGAACGCCCTGAAGTCGCCTGCCACCGCTTATCTCCAATCCATTCGAGACCATCACCAGCTCCACGAATATCTACCCGGCGACGGAGCTGTTCGCGCTCCGAAAGCGGGAAAGCGGTTGAGCTGGCCGACTCCGTTTCTTTCTCGTCGCCAGACAAGGGTAGGTGGCGATGATGCCATTCTCCGAGGAACAAGCCGTCAGGATCTACTTCCTTCCGCACTTTCAGCCACTCATCCATGTCCTTGCCGTAGAGCTCATGCAGCTCCTGGCGCCCTGTTTTGAAATTCTTGGCCCAGTGTGGCTTCGCGCCCAACTCCCGCATGAGCCACTCGAACGCTTCGTAGTAGCGATCCTTACATGGGGGATCCCGATGGTATGGACGATAGAGTGTCGCATTGAGATACAAAGTAGGCCCATCGGCGCAAGTGGGGTCAAGGAAAGGGCGAGGTTTTCCCAAATAGGTGGAATCCGCGACTCTGACTTCGACGGGGCAGTGTACCCACAGCCCATCAACAGGGAACGGGATACGAGCGGTCTCCATATCACCATGAAGCCAGGCCGACAGGCGTGTGATTGCTTCCGGGCCCTTCGCGAGAGGGAGTGCCCATTCGTTGACAAACTGTGAGTACAGACAGTTCATCAAGAGCCCCTCACGGGCAGGCTCTACGGCTTCCGTCACCGTCTTCTCCGCCTTGAACCCATACTGCAAGCCAAAGATAAACCATTCAACCCAGGGAAGGATACGGGGGAAATAGTTGGAGAGCGCTAATAGGTTATGGTAGACATGATAACCAATCCACTCCCCATAGAACGTCTTGGGAGGTTTCCGCAGAGGCAGATCAGTCTTGTCCGCATGCCAGACAATCGCACTCTTCTCATATGGCATCCACCAGACACGCACGAACTCATGCGAAGTCCACAGACCGGAGGACCACTCGGCCAGCACGCTGGAGAGCCGTCGTCGCGTCTGTCTCCAAGCAACCTTGAATATCGGTTCAGCCTGGAAAGTGACCTCGACAATGATACCCAATGCCCCGAGAGAGATCAAGGCCGCGCGGAAAAGATCCGGGTTGCTGGTTGCGCTACAGCGCACCAGCTGCCCGTTCGCCAACATCAGAGTCAGCGAAATGATACATTCTGAGATCAGGCCATGCCGCAGGGAGCTGCCATGGGTCCCAGTTGAAATGACCCCGCGATAGACTGGCTGTCGATGCTGCCTAAATTCGACAACGTCAAACCATGTTCCTCCAACCGCCGACCGAGATCTCTCAACCGTATGCCGGCCTCGACAGTCACAACATGTGTCTCCCTATCAATATGTAGAACGCGATTGAAATCGTCGAGGTTGACCAACCACGAAGAAGTGCAGGTTAAATCGGACGGCGAATGACCGCTGCCGACGGTGACCAGGCGACGACGGCACCGACGAGCCAGCGTCACCACCTTCTGGATTTCGGCGATAGACCGCGGTCGGATATACAATTCAGGGCGCGAGTAGAACGTCTTAGCCCAAGTGTGATGCAGATGGTCGGACGTCGCGCGGAGTACCGCGGGGTCGAGGGGGTTGAGCTCGCGAGAGATAGTTGGGTTCATCGTTTGACTAGAATAGACTTGCTGGAATTCCATCTGAGGAAAGGCATTTGGTTCAGAGCATCAAGGCATGATCGAAATGGATACTGGAGAAGAGGCAAAGAGTCGGAAAGAATGTCTGGTGAGATTGTCTTGGCCATTCACATGGCGCGGCATACCTGATTTGGATGGGTCATGATCCACATAAAGATTTTTCAGTTATTTAAGGTGAGAGGCGATAAAACGCGGCGGGCCGCATATCAGCGGGCCCCTTGCGGGCGATTTGATCGATCGCCGATGGTGATGAGTGATCTTTGTTATTTTAAGTTATCAAGATACATCTTGCGTTTGACAACCCTCAAGTCTTGAACTATATCGCGTAGATTGGTACAGACTACACTGAGAACTTTCCCTGGCTGTGTATGAATCCCAGCACAGTCGCCTGAATTTTATACAGTCAAGCCCAAGGACCCCTGTATGAAGAATACCTCTCTATGTGCAACCGAGAAATACAGTCAAATATCAAGTAGTACATGCTCCATCCCGGGCTCCGTGGATCAGCCAAGCTCCTTATCTGTACAGACCAGACTATGCACAATCCCACCATAAATTGAATCAGTTATGAACCAGAAAAGGGACAAAAAAAAATATATCAACATCGCCCGAAAATTGACTTCAAGAGCGAATAGACTCAATTGCCGCGTTTAGAGGAAACACTCGCGGACGCATTTGTGCAGACGGTTTGTCCCATTTGCGAAATGCGCTGCGAGCCGACTCGGGAATACCTCCGATGGAGACAAGACTGTTGGGAATGAAGGGCCGATCCTGAAGGGAAGCAGCCAGAATGCCATACTCGTGCGCAAACACGACCGCTGATGCGAATTCGGCAGGTTGTTGAGATGCTTGTTCACCAACAATACTATGCGCAAATCAGCAATTGTTCATTGGAGGCCCATCGCATTCACTTACACATAAATCTCGAAGAAGGTGTCCAGAATGTAGATGCCTTTGGCCGTAATGTCCTTCTGGCAGAATGGCACAATTTCCTGAACGGTGTCATTTGGTCTAATCACAGGGGAAGCTGACCCCGACACTCGTCGAAGCCAAAAACCGCCTGTTCGCTGACCCAGCTCGTGGTCTACTCGGAATAATCTCAGGCGATAATGGTCATGGTTCGGTTTCAGCCGCCAGTAATCTGAGTGCATGGATTCTTCGGCCTCTCGTTGGTGCGAAAAGACCTCAAAAAAGCTTTCAGGCTCCTCTCCTTCGGCCACTTCTTCGAACTCGCCCGTCAGGCCGAGATCCATGCCAATGAGGCGGGCGGCGCCAATCTCTTCAGCAGTACTTCCTTTGCCCTTCCACAGGTATAATTTGCCAAACATGGCAGAAATTACATAAGAGAAGCCTGAGCAAAGATTGCTTCTTGAGAAGTTGACCTCGTCAAACACCATTTGACCGAGATGTTTTCGTCCGCAGAGCATAAAGATGGCAGAAGAGCTGGAGCGGGAATTAGCCCCACGGCGTGTGATGAGGATCCCACCAAGGGCTTGTATGAATCTGGAAGTCTCTTTGCCTTGCTTGATAACCTCTAGCTTGCAGCCGTTTTCCCTGGCGACTTTGCGGGAGAATGGCTGCGCATCGTCCCTGGCCGCATCACTCACATCGTCACCGCACCAAAGGTGGGTTTCAGAGAGTGCAACTCCTTCCGACTGAAACACATGTACGCACAGGTACATACTTCCTTCGTAAAGAATGTATTCCTGGTTAACAGGAAGGTCCTGCCTCTTCCCATCACCAGTAATCTCCCAAAGTTGCCTCTTCAGAGTCCTAATTCTGAGATCGTCGGTCTTGCTAGTAAGCATCAATTGCGTGTCAATGTTCACGCGATCCTTTGAGTTTGGCAAAGCCTTGAAAAAGCCCGAAATGACTTCAAGGGATTCCTCGGCCTGGGGTACCAAAGACACTGATGATCTCGTCGATAAGGACTGTTGGTCGGCAGAGATTTTGCTCCATTTAGAAGGAACAGGAGGAGAAGGCAATGCTTTATCTCGAGAGTTTTCGATCGAACCACCAGATGTATAGTTCTTCGGGGATTTCTGCGGAGTTGCTCGAGGAGAGTGCAGTCGGTTCTCTCTAAAGGTTGTTCTGAGAGGAGAAGAAGACGGTGACGAATACTGATGTGGAGAACTCCGTATTTGCACTGGAACGGGTGACGAGGGCGGCATACTTGGCTTTGGCGGTAGAGTCGGTCTTCTCGAGGGAGAGTCTCCAAGATTTTCGATGTCTTCCGAATCGTCCTTGGGGGGAGGCGAAGGGTCCATATCCATCGAAGACTTGGAGTCCCGGTGTGCGAGCTTTTGCTCGAGTCTACGCTCTATAAGATGCAGTATGGTTCGCTTGAATTCCACTGGTTTTTCAGAGGCTGAATAAGTCAGTGGAGGCAGGGTCGGCTCAGAGACCATGGGGCTAGTTGTTTCAGCGTCCGGAAGCGGCCAACCGACAGAAGTCATCGCAATATCTTGGCTGGATAATGGCGCCAATTCCGTTTCATGAATATCAGATGAAGAGTTATCGTTCTCTGGAACGGTCGCAGCATCGTTGATCAGCGGCGTCGTCGATTCCGTGACTGCAAGCTTGGGTAGGCGCCTTTTTGGCCCCTCGCACGGTTCTTCGTCATATGGGTAAGAGGTGCAGTAGCCTGACTGTCAGAGAATTCGGAGCTACCTTCCCGCATTGAGTCTGTCGAGAAGTGCTTGGTTGAGTTCCCACTGATAATAGGAGGGCCGCGAGACAAGAGACCCGCCAAGGCAGGGTTTATTCGGCCTGCGAGTTGACCTTTAGTAGCAAGACCTTCAGTAGCAGCAGGCGCTTCTGCAGCCTCCGCAACAGTCCCCGACGGCAGAGCACGCACCGGTTTGATGGCCTCTTCAATCTGCTTGTCCCTTATCTCAGACGTGTTCTCTGCGGTGAATGCTGAGTCTGTGATCAACTGATTCTCGAAATCATCGCCCTTGGTCTCCACATTTCCAGCCTCAGAAGATGCCAAATCCGCAACCTGGTCTTTCGGTCTGTTGGGCGCTGAAACCTCTGCTGCAGTCTGCGAGTACTGTGCCTCCTGCGCCTGTTCGTCCTTACGCGGGGAAGAAGGCGACTCCTGGTCATTCTTGAGACCGTTCGGTGTTGGGTAGTCCTCAGATGACGGCGAAGTCAAGGCACCACCAGAATAGGTGCTCCTACTGCTGCTGCTAGATTTAGACAGGTTATTCCGTTTGGCAATCGCTTCTGGAATCATTTTCGCAGGAGCATCGATTTCTCCGGCCGTGTTACGTCTCAGTGAGCCTCCGCTCGCTTTCATTGCCTCTTTCTGCTTCAAGATACTTTCCTTCAGATCATCAACCTTCGGGGTCTTCTTCGGGCCGCCTGTCGCATTCAGCGCTGCTTTGCCCTTCAGGATATTATTTCTGAGCTCATCCGGGGCAACGTAGGTCGAAGACTCGGCTTTCTTTAATTTGCCAAACACATTCTTGAACTCCGGTTCCTGTTTCGGTGCTTCATCTTTGGTAATTTCTCGCTTTCGCAAATTCGCACGGAAATCTATCACAGGGGATTGTGGCTTTGGTCTGTTCAATAAAGGGTCTCGAGGAGATGAGAGAGGTGGACAGATCTCAGTTTTATTGACGGGTACTAGGAGGGACGGTGCACGTCTGCGTGTTGGAGCATCCTCGGTCTTGCCTTCCGGTCCACTTTCTTGCTTTGTAGGCGAAGCTTCGGGCTTCGTATCCACGGATTCGCGAGTATCCTCCACCTTCCGGGTAGCCTCATGATCGGGTGTTGTTTCAACCTTGGGTGTCTCTGCGGTCTTGGGTTCGCTGTCTTCAGAGTGGGACAACGGCTGGTCCCTGGATTCCTTAGATTTGTTGATGTCCAGATTACTTCGTAGATCCGGGATCCCAGAGACACTCTGGGTCTTATAGTGACTACCAGGTGCAGCTGAACGCATGAGCCCGACCGTAGTGACTTCCTTGAAGCTATTCAGGCGGCTTAGATCGACGCTTGCCCTTGATTGTCGATCTTTCGCCCATGATGTTTGCTGTGAGTGCTGCCTCTTGTGCTTTGGTGAGTCAGGCCGATTAAGAGCGCTCTCGAGCCATGTCGATTTTGTGGGACTCCAGCGCCTGGGATCCATGGTCCTCGAGACAACGGGGCTCGCGGACGGCAACGAATTCGAGTCGGAGTCGTGTCCATTTCCGCTCAATGCGCTGAGAGCTCTGACGCGAAGCGTAGGTCTGGCGGTAGCTTCGTCTGTCTCCACCTTGTTCACCATCGGCGGCGTTGCCGGCCTTTCGCTCTCCTTCGCATTGTGGACAATCGTTGCCTCGCTGTGGCTGGAACTTGGTCTCTGGGACGCAATGAACGGGTCCTCGCGGCCAAGCCTCGACGGAGATACAGGAGCATGCACATCGCCATACGCTGGGCCAGCAATGCTATTGCGGTTGCTGGCAAAGGAATTGCCTCGGCTTACCCCTGACGGTAACTGTGCACTCCATCTCTTCGAGACACTATCCGATCGCTTCATCATGGCGCTCTGCACAAAGCCTCCAAGACCTTTTGTCGGCGACGATGAACGAGAACGCTCGGGGGAAAGGCGCCTCGGGGAGGGAGGTGTCGCGACCTGTTCTGGCTCGAGTTTTTGGACGCTTGAAAGGGGTACGGGAGATCCGAGTCCAGTTGCCGTCGAGACAGAAGATATGCTCGAGTATCGATGTCCCAAACTACTATCCCCGAAAGTCGAGCTTGCCCTGGATGGGGAACGCGATCTTTCTTCTCCGACTTCCGGTTGTGAGTTCTGCTTCTCATCCCCAGGCGGAACTTCTGGATTCGTTTCAGTGCCTTCGTCGCTTGTGCGGATTGAGCCCTGGCCAGTCTTTTCAGCGTCCGGCTTTTCCTTGGCAATCCCTCTAGTGATTGAGTCGGGAGTTTCCTCCGCTCTTGTTGTCTGACCGGCGGTAACATCCTTGGAGGAAGGCGAAAGCGTCAGCGGACTGCGAACATTTTTGTGATCATCGTTCGAGAAATTAGACAAGCCACTCAGGCGATTGAGACGGGTTGGGGAGCGCGTAGGAGAGGGAGGGAAAAACGATCTGTTGCCGCTCATATCCCGAGACGACGGTCGTTGTTGCCAGGACAGGGTCCCTGCTCTACTGCGCGCAAGAGTTGAAGTAGTAGTTGCTCTCGGTGAGGATTCCATCTCCCTCCCGTCTAGTTTTGACCCTTCCAGATCACCATTCGTACCAATTGACGTGTCGTCTCGAAAGGGGTCGGATCTGGCGCCTGTGGCATGTTCAGGTGTCCGAGGTGTGGGCGAGAGTTGTTCTGGAGGCTCGATCCCACGCTGACTGAGGGAAGAAATGCTCAACCGAGCGGAATCCAATATTGGGGAGTCCTTTGTTGGCGAAATCGACCGCGCTCGTTCTACACAGGGTCGGCAAAGAAGACGAACAAGATCAGCCTTTGATTATTTTAATTATCCGAGGGCTCGGGGCAGCCCATGGAACGAGACAGCAAAAGCAATAGATGATTGGAATGACTGAGAAGACTAGGGACGCCAAATACCAGCTCTTCGAGCCTGCCTCTCCTTGCGACTCTGCATGATTTCCTCCTCCAACTTCTTGGTCCGTTCCTCGTCCTCCTTATCGCGTTTCTCGCCTAGCTCCCGAATCCGCTGGAGGAAGTCATTGACATCCTCTGAACTGTCCGCATCGGTAGTAACTGTCATGGCACCCTAGGTATGAGAATGCACAAGCAAAAGGAAAGGGAAAGGTGACAAAGGAGATTATCAGAAAGAAAAAGCAATAATGACGAGTATAATCGGCCGGGATCACCCAGTAGACTGAACCGGGTTGGTGTGGGGTACTGGCAAGAAAAAGCGCAAACGTAATGATCGCAGTGGACGATGGAGGGGAAGGGGATAAAATCAATGTTTATCGAACTGCCTAGGCAGATAGATACCGGATAATGTACGAGTAAGGCAGTGGTACTTCCCAGTGTCTCCCACGGCGCGTCTCAGGTTATCCCAGGTTGTGGGACGTCGCGCTTTTTTAAGTCACTTTACTAGTGTCATATTTGGATCGATATTAATATTATTTTCAGCTGGCCTCACTCGCTCAGCAGGACACACAAAAACTGTGAGCACACTGCCCCACCGCGTCCTTGCTGAAAATGCGCCCGACACGCTCGTCTCTGTCGTCTACCTGACTATCCATCCACACCAACGCCCAATCCATGTCTCCCTTTTTGGAAGATTGGCAAGATATTGGAGTCATACAGCAGTGTTGTAAATAGTGGACTAGTACTCCGTACTCATCATTCAGAACTTTAAAGAGGTATCTGATCCCCTGTGTAGCACCAAAATGGCCACTGAAGGGACACAAAATGACTTATTCTTCTTGTTTGCAAGCAGCTTGTTTTGATGTTTACTCTTTACCAAGAGTGGCCATGTGGTGGGCCTTCTCTGCCGCCCCGCGACCCAGAAAACAGTTGCGAAACCAGCTCTTGATGTCTTGGATATTTAGAGAGTAGATAGACGCTAGATAGTTGCCAGATATCTGGGTTTGTGTTTGAACTTAGCAGTCTAGTCTTCAAAAAACAGAACGAATGTCGTCATAGTCAGGTATCATCAACAGGGAGTTTTGGACGGTCGGCTCAACGTTTGACGCCATACGCATCATAATGGATGGGATGTTGACTCAAATAGTGTCATCCCTTGTGAAGCCACAAAGTGTTTAACTTGTCTTTACTGACAACTCTGTGCGACGGTCAGCTTGATGATTGCTAGCATCTTTAGAACACAGTCAGCCATCGAGATTTGTGTTCTTGGACTATTATCGCTTATCGGGCCCTCCTTCAGGCCTCATTTGCAGCCTGATTGTGGAGAGAGAACAGCCTGAGAAGGCGATCGCACTTATTTGAGGAGAGTTTTTACCCTTTTCTTTGCATGTAGATGAGTGATAGCTGGTTGAGATCAGATAATACCGGATATGAGAGAAAATAACAGAATGAGGACATGGGCTTTCTTCAAATTTTAAGAAACGACTAAATGGTTGGTTGCAGACATATATGTAGAGTAACACAGAGCATGTTTCGCTGGATTGAAAAACGACAGACTCATTTCATCTTAGCATTAGTGATATCAATGATTTCTCGAGTGTTGATCTGACCCAAGAAGCATCAACATAAATCCGTATTGGAGTTGAAAATTCCAGACGCTCAAGCGTACTCGACAGAAGCGGGTAGAGACGGGGTCAGTAGAGGAAAAGTCTGTCTTTCGCATCCTGCACTACCCATTGTAAGCCTTCAAGGAGATTCTTGCCTGTCATGGCACTGCAGGGCAATATAGTCCATTTATGAGTCTTTATTGAATCCAGGCGAAGCCGCTGGAGAGATGTCAGTAGATGTTCGTAGAGCCCACCAAATATATCAAGACGCGCCAACAACTTACTTCACGGACTTCATCTTCCGTCATACATCCCTCTACATCTGTCTTGTTCAAGAATATCAGGAGACTTGCTCCCATCAGGCGCTGGAGGGCGTTAGCCAAACCGATGCTCATCAACGAAAATTCCGCAGAGGAGCGGGGAAATTGGCCGCCGTACCTCTTCGAGGAGTAGGCCTGCGAGTTCATCCCGGCAATCGCCAACTCGAAGACGGTCTGTTGCATCTACCACCCAGACAAGTGTGTCAGTCTTCTCAAAGTAGTTTTTCCAGTATGACCGAAGGGTTTTCTGTCCCCCGACGTCCCCTGGCGGCAAAAAGTCAATCGAAGTTCCTTGCGGAGATCTGACTACTGGCTTCTCTCACATATGTTCAATCTATATCTGTGTCCGGAGTCAGTTATCAAGATGACTGAGATCGTTAGAGTTGAAGTTACCCTTCAAAATCTATTGTTTTGATAATGAAGCCTAGTGTAGGGCTGACAGTTGTGACATCTTCGTTCATAATCTGCTTCACAATCGTTGTCTTCCCAGCATTATCAAGACCACTAGCATCGATCGTGAGCATCCAGATGGGTCATTTCTTAGTTGCTGAAAGACTTACAGCATCAGAATTCTCATCTCTTTGTCCTTTAAGCGAGCCTTTCTCAATATTGACAGCATTTTGGCCAAATGTGTCCTCTTGAATCTGTTTCGTTGGCTTAGTTGTGGTTGGATAAAACCCCTACATACAGGCGAAAAATAGAGATTCGGTCAGAATTTAGAGCTAATCCACCAGAGTGATCCAACAATTCTCTATAGTATTTAATTTATGATGTGGAAAATACTCATTAGTAGCTTACTCCTAAGTTGATTTTGCCTTGCTCTCATTTTTGCTGTGCTTTTGTGAGTGTACTTATTCTTTCTAAGCTTTCTGCTACCCAGAGAAGCCCTATACTTCTTCTCATATCCTACCTCAGATAGACCTAAGAAGTGACTGTGGTAACTTTTAGGACCAGCAAATATACCAGGGCTCTCAGATAGTGCTATAAACCCATGTTATTAATCATAAGGCCACATCATAATCTGTTAGCGTTTTTAGACGACTGCTTCTTTCACTACAGTTTTCTATCACTAGTAACTCAGCAGGAAACATCCGTTTTCCTTTCACTTCATATTCACCTCAGACCGTACTTGCCCTAACTATCGCTTAAGACCTATCTTCCCCCCATGCACCCTGGATGGTGACTCATGATACTCACATCTTCTGGTCCGGAACATTCTCTTCTAGGTTATCCACACCATTCCTTGATGACTAGCCGCCATGGACAGGCAAGCTCATCACGGTCAGCCGAATGCCCCAAGTAGGCATAGGGCTAATAGGTCGAAGACTCAGTCCCAGCAAGATCCTGCCTACCCTGAGTCTGGGTTAAAAGCTACAAACGATCTCCCCTCAACATTCGCAAAGCCTCGAGCTTTCAGAAAGAGAAGACCGAAACAGAGTGAGTCTTTTAAGACTCAGCCTGACAACCACCGTCCGGCTCCTAGTGATTCGAGTCCAAATCCAACGGACGGGCAGATCACTATTCACTCTACAGTACGCGACCTCGGAGCATCACAAAATGACTCAGAGAGACTGAGTAACGCCGAGTCCTCAAAATCCCCTGCTTGCTTAGTTTTGAGAATTCAGGGACCTTCTATTCCAAGTTCTGAAGCCCTGCACCAGAGACAAAGTGCAAGAGAGAAAGATAAGGAGGCCTCAGGCAGTTACAGAACACGCGCGCCGTTTGACTGGCGGCCTAAGAAATTCCATAGCAGAGCACCAGCTTCCACCCACCTCTCGCACCAGCCTCACACCCCACAGAAGAGATCAAAACTGAGTCAAGTCACCAACGCTGATATAGCTCAGATATCGCTCCCTTCACAAGGAAATACAAATATGGGTGAGTGACACTTGCTCCTTCTCTCTCAAATTGGCCAAAGACCGAGCTTCAGGAAGCTAACTAGCAGTCAGATCAAGTAGGAGACCGTCCAAACAAGACTGACAGCAATGGATCCGACGAAGTCGTCATGAATCGAGGGGCCAATTTCAAAGGTCGCAATCAAAGACAGCATCGGGGCGGAAGCGCACGTCTGAACAGCGATTCCGGGTATAGGGCTCGTCCAAGAACAACACCGCAGATACCGAGGCAGAATGCCGATGGGGCACCAAAGAGACCTGCTGCGGTGGAAAATCACACTCCCCAGGACCATGTTGGCTGCCAGATCAAAGTTCCGTCCGGCGTGCAAAAGACTGCAAACAAGGCTCCATCTCAAGAGGCTCTAGACGAGTTAAAGCGCCTTCAAGAAGAGATTGTTTTGCAAGCCCACCTGAATCGCTACAAAGACCATGAAGACGACGCAGCAAATCCAGAGAGCCTTGCGAAATGCAGGGACGGGCCAGGAACCGATCCAGAATCAGATGTCTACAAGAGCATCGCAAGGTGTAGGCTTGCAGCCAATCCAAATGCAACTTCTTCCAACCCAAGCTCTATTCCAGAGGATAAGTTCGAAGGGGACGTGGATGATAGATACTTCGTCGATGAAATCAGGTCTCGCGTCCAGAAGTTTTACGCTGCGAAACTTGATGCCCAGCGTGAGTCTTATCATAACAGCGTGTCCGTGTATTCGGCCATTGTTGACGGCCAGATCTTTCTTTCGCGCTACCCAAGTGCGGAGCATGAACGTCTTCAGAAAACTCCATCGAATGCTGAGCGCCAGACTGGCAATCAGGACGACAGTCATAAACCAGAGCACTGCTCCAATGTTAAGTGGGAGGATAGGTGGGAGATGCGTCCTCGTGCTTGCTCTACCTATGAAGGCTTTCGTGATTGGTTCCGTCATTGGCTAGAGATGGAGACAGGCGATAGCTCCAACATTGACATCCACCACCAAGCCTTTTTTGACGGAACCGCGCATATGGATGGTATCAAATCTTTGTACATTCTTGACTTGGGAGACGTCCCAACTTGTTTGGACATGACGAGTGAAGCAACACGTCTCCATTATCATGAAACGGCCGAAGGCTACTGCCACAACCTTGCATTGCATATGAAAGCGGCGGAAGAGGAGGCGAGGACACGCAGGAAACAAGCTCGAGATGCCTTTATAGAAGGTCTGAAGGTCTGTTCCCCAAAGGATCCAAATAGTCCTAGAGCAAACGTCTATCTTCGCAGTGTTGAAGACGGTGACATACCAGGACTGCTCATGATCTTGAATTGGTACGGCCAAAAGTCAAACTTGAGTTCAAGCTTAGGAACACTTGACGAACAAGACGTGCGTCAACGAATTGAGGATAGCAGACGTGCGAAATTGCCGTTCATAGTGGCTGCAGAGCGCAGACGCGGACCATCCGCCGACGACACCCCGGAGAAAATCCTCGGATATGCTTTGGCTAGAGATTCCTTGGGGCTTCAGACCACAGGTCGATACACAGCGGAGCTAGAAATTTATGTCAAACCGGACCACAAACGCCGAGGCATCGGAAAATGTCTCTTGGACAAACTGATTGAAGTTTGTGACGCTACTTACGTTCCCAAAAGGGGCTTCTGCTACGATGCCGGTTGCGATGACAAGACAGGCATTTACCCGGGCGGTTCCCGAACTCTCAAACGCCTTGTCTTTACCATCAGCTATTCCGCTCCTGAGAGATCCCAGATCAAGTGGCTCATCGACTGGCTTGAAAGGGATTACCACTTTGAACAGCAAGGCGTGCTCAAGGGAGCTCGAGTCAAGTTTGAGCGATTGTAAGTAAACCCTAGCATTGATCACGTGGATCCTAGACTTACCAAAACGTTCTCATAGCCTTGATGTCAGCTACCTTATTCGCAACGCTGGTTACGACGATGGTGATGCATTTCATGCTTGAAGGGGATAACCTTTCCGGAGATTGTATGGGCGTCTTCCTCCTTGTTCTGCATATTGAGCTGTCTCTGCTTCTTCGTCATCTCATCTCAAGGACCCTTTTTGTCTCCCCTCTTGTGTCTAGTCAGGCTTGGAATCTAGCAACTGAGGAGAACAGTGGTAGTTCAAGAAATGGAGATTTCAATATACCAAGTAATGAACCACTCGTTGCTTTTCGCGTCTCGCAGCTTCATTGCTCTCTTGATACACAATGATCATAATCATTAGGGAAAAAAACATCTCTTTGGAAGGATTGATCCAATATGCTTTGGATGCAGGTGGTAAGCTAGGCACTATTTAGTAGGTTTGATACGGACGTTACCTTAGTAAGCAAAGGCTGATAAAACAGGCTTTAGTAGACAACCAATCAAAGTTACAGAACAACTTTGCGGGTATTTTCTGCCGCGCTTAAGTCTCACCGCCTTCGCAATTTGAACTTTTTTCTTTCCTCTCCGCTCAGGAGAAAATAGAACTAGAAGTCCTGGGAGGAAAAACAGGGGTGGTTTGAGCTCCTCTACATCGGTTTCACTTGTTCTGTGTGAATCCTTACAGTCTAGTACGGCACCCTTTCGCACTTCTACGACCAATCGACGGTCGGTCTTTTAAAAATGGCTCCCAATGCCGCGACAAAAAAGCGGGCTGCCGCCAAAGATGACGATTTCGTGCTCACAATATCGGACGACGAGAACAATGTCCTCGAGAACGGTGTTGAGGAAGACGGCGACAATGCCGAGGAAGACACTCTTTCCAGCTCGAAAAAACGCAAGCGAGAGGCGGCGGAGGCACCGAAAGGCAAGAACAAGAAGCAGAAGCAATTGAAGAAAAGCAAGAAGGGCGAGAGCGCTGCTGGCGCAGTATCTGACGACCAATCCGGCGAAGAGGATGAGGCTGAGGCTAATGATGCTGGTGAGGATGATGGGGCGCTGGACTCGGAGTTCGAGTTCGACGTTGGCGGCAATGCTAATACGGGTGTGATCGAGGGATTTGATGGGTGGGAAGCGCGGAATGGAGCTGGTGCTGCCGATGCAGCCAAGAATGGGGATAAGAAAGCTGTGGATATTGATGATATTATTTCCAGGAGGAAAGCGAAGAAAGAGGCCGAGCTGAAAAAGAAGCAGCAGAAGGAGAAAAAGAGGAGGGAGGAGGAAGGAGAGGAAGAGGGTGAAGATGAAGATGCCGACTCTGATGGCGGTATGTCTGTGGACTTCCAGGACGACGAATTGCTTGCTGGAGACGGATTTGGTATGGGTGCCGATGGTGCGGATGAGAGTGGTGACGATGTGGAGAACGACGCTAGTGACAGCGACGATGCGGACGAACAGGGCAGCGAGGATGAGGATGATGATGATGATGATGCTGCTTCCGACAACGATTCAGTTGCGACTCCAGTAAACCATCCGGATGACGAAGCAGCTTCAGACGAGGAATCGGAAGCGGAGAGCGAGGTTGACGCTGAGGAAGCGGAAAAGCGCAAGGCTTTCTTTGCGCCTGAAGAAAAGTCTACAGCCGCGTCGGCTTCTAACCGATCATTCCAGGACTTCAATCTGTCTCGACCGATCCTCCGTGGTCTGGCATCTGTCAATTTCACCACACCCACTCCCATCCAGCAAAAGACGATCCCCGTGGCTCTCCTTGGTAAAGACATCGTGGGTAGTGCTGTTACTGGCTCAGGAAAGACAGCTGCATTCGTTGTTCCGATTCTCGAGCGTCTTCTGTTCCGCCCTCGAAAAGTCCCCACCAGTCGTGTTGCTATCCTTATGCCCACTCGTGAATTGGCGGTTCAGTGTTACAATGTGGCTACAAAACTGGCTACTCATACTGACATCACCTTTTGTCAACTTGTCGGTGGTTTCAGCCTTCGCGAGCAGGAGAATATCTTGAAAAAGCGGCCTGATGTGATCATTGCAACTCCTGGTCGTTTTATCGACCACATGCGGAATTCCCCCAGCTTCACTGTCGACACACTGGAGATTTTGGTTCTTGATGAAGCTGATCGAATGTTGGAAGATGGTTTCGCTGACGAACTCAACGAAATCTTGACAACTATTCCCAAGTCGCGGCAAACAATGCTTTTTTCGGCTACAATGACAGACTCCGTGGACAAGCTCATTCGGGTTGGTCTCAACCGTCCAGTTCGCTTGATGGTCGACTCCAAGAAGAATACATCCATGAACCTGACCCAGGAGTTCGTCCGGTTACGGCCTGGTAGGGAGGACAAGCGCTTGGGATATCTCCTTTACCTGTGCAACGAAATCTACACTGGACGGGTTATCGTCTTCTTCCGGCAGAAGCGCGAGGCCCATCGGGTTCGCGTTGTCTTTGGGCTATTGGGACTCAAAGCGGCAGAGCTTCATGGTAGCATGAGCCAAGAACAGGTATGTCAACTTATCAGCTAAGATAATTACTCGAAACTGGACTAATCAGGACTACAGCGTATCAAAAGTGTTGAGAACTTCCGAGAAGGCAAAGTAGCCTTCCTGCTTGCTACTGATTTGGCGTCCCGTGGTCTGGATATCAAGGGTGTTGAAACGGTTATCAACTACGAAGCGCCTCAGAGCCACGAGATCTACCTGCATCGTGTCGGTCGAACAGCGCGTGCTGGCCGTTCCGGACGCGCATGTACCATTGCAGCCGAGCCGGACCGCAAGATCGTCAAGTCGGCCGTGAAGGCCGGCAAAGCGCAAGGTGCCAAGATTGTCAGCCGCGTGGTTGACCCAGCCGTTGCGGATGAATGGGCCGCTAAGGCCAAGGGCTTGGAAGATGAGATCGAGGACGTGTTACAGGAGGAGAAGTTGGAGAAGCAGATGGCACAGGCAGAAATGCAAGTGACCAAGGGAGAGAATATGATCAAGCACGAAGCCGAGATCATGTCGCGGCCGAAGCGCACATGGTTCGAGACTGAGCGTGACAAGCGTGCGGCGCGCAAATCGGGTGCTACCGAGCTCAACGGACCATCTAAGAAGGATAAAGTAAAGCTGAGCAACAAGGATAAGAAACGGCTTGACGATGCGCGCCAGCGTCACGAGGGGAATATCGGTTGGAAGAAAGGCAAGGCTGACCGAGAAGCTCCCAAGCAGGATAAGAACAAGGGGAGCAAGAACAAAAGTGACAAGAAGAATAAGATCAAGATGAAGGGAAAGAAATGAGGAGGGGGCTACATCAACTGTGTATAGAATTGCATTAGAACCTAATATAGGTTGCGAATATCTCTTCAAGGCCTTTGTTTTGGTGTCCTTTGGTGCATCAGTCTTTACATCTACATAGAGCGGCCGTATATATACTGTCATCTACACCTGCCCTCTCCCAAAATGACTCAAATTGAAGCTATTCCAGTCCTCTATCGTAAGGCTTGACTGTTTCAACCAATCGTTCCACTTCCAGTCGACGGCTACTGGCGGTTAACCACGGTGGAGTATGGCCTCTTGGCCTGAGGCCCATGTAATTGTCTCCGATCATCGGCCCCGCATTGAGTAGAACATCTTCCAGCTTACTGCACCGACAAGCATCAGGGAACATAGAATGGCTGGAAGAGAATCAATCAAAACATTCAATCCGCTTCAGAAGTTCAGAACCTTAAGCTATCAACACTCGCCGAACACACCTGCAACAATTCATACGCCAACATCAGTGGCCTCAGGACTTTTATATACCTCGAGTACCCACTTTGCGAGGCACCCCGAGCCACCGACCAATGAGAGCCACCAATTAGGAATCCCCGCGTCCGCTGTCGGCGGATCGACGAAAAAATATGTGAAAAGCGGCGAGAGAGCGTCATGACCTATTATTATTGAACGGATGGAGATATACTGACTCACTCCTGCTCGAACTCTGTCGTCCACATTTCTCCCTCTACTTAAATATCGTTCTCTGATCATAAATCCTTCGTTCAGTGTCATTCAGGCACATTTTACCAATTAATTGTCTGGTCCTCCCTTTCCTCCTTCTGGCCACAATATCCTCAAGTGACTTTCTCTACCTTCTTTCCCCACCCCCGCTGCGGACACCGCACGATACCGCCATCATGCCTATGTATGTCTTCTGCCCCTGGATCTCTGTTGTTTACTCCAGCGTCTCAAATGACGATTCGTATTTAAGCTTATTTTATTGACTCGCTTTGATAGGCTTAAAGATCCCTCGAAAAAATACAAGCCCTTCAAGCCTCTGCATCTCCCTAACCGCCAATGGCCCGATAAGGTCATCGACAAGCCGCCCCGCTGGCTGGCTACTGATCTGAGAGATGGCAACCAGAGTCTGCCTGATCCGATGGTGAGAATCTCGTTCAATTTTTCTGGACGCCTCTTACGTATAGATGTATATAGGATGGTGATCAGAAGTTCCGGTTCTTCAAAATGCTCGTCGACATCGGTTACAAGGAAATCGAAGTATCGTTCCCCTCGGCATCGCAAACGGACTTTGATTTCACTCGACGCCTGGTAGAGACACCTGGCGTCGTTCCCGACGATGTCTGGCTCCAGGTCCTGTCTCCTTGCAGAGAAGAACTCATCCGTCGCACTGTCGATTCCCTCAAAGGCGCAAAGAAGGCTATCCTCCACATCTACCTGGCTACCAGCCCGTGTTTCCGCCGAATAGTTTTCGGAACCACCCGCGAACAGAGTCTTGAGATTGCCGTAAGATGCACCAAGTACGCCCGCTCGATAACCAAGGACGATCCAGAGATGGCTGGTACCCAGTGGCAGTTCGAGTTCTCTCCCGAAACCTTCTCCGACACCGAGCCTGAGTTCGCAGTCCAGATTTGCGAGGCCGTCAAGGCTGCTTGGGGCCCTACCGAAGAAAGCCCCATAATCTTCAATCTGCCAGCAACAGTGGAGATGGCAACGCCAAACATATTCGCAGACCAGGTTGAGTATTTCTGCCGCAACATGACGGAGAGGGAGAAGTTTGTCGTCTCTGTCCATCCCCACAACGACCGTGGCTGTGCCGTTGCAGCCGCCGAGCTGGCTCAGATGGCTGGTGCTCAGCGTGTCGAAGGTACTCTTTTCGGAAATGGTGAGAGAACTGGTAACGTCGATCTGGTCACTCTTGCCCTCAATCTCTACACACAGGGTGTTAGCCCTCAAGTTGACTTCTCGGATATCAACTCGGTTATCAAGGTGGTGGAAGAGAGCAACAAGATTCCTGTGAATGAAAGATGGCCCTACGGTGGTCAGCTGGTTGTCTGCGCGTTCAGTGGCAGTCACCAAGACGCTATCAAGAAGGGGTTCAAGCTGCGTGAAAGCGCCAACGCCACCGACGACGACGAGTGGGTCATTCCGTATCTCCCTCTGGATCCTCAGGACATCGGACGGAACTACGAGGCTGTCATCCGTGTCAACTCCCAGAGCGGCAAGGGTGGTGCCGCCTGGGTCATCCTGCGCAGTCTGGAGCTGGATCTCCCGCGCGCTCTGCAGGTAGAATTCAGCAAGGTCGTTCAGAAGAAGACCGAAGCCGTCAACCGGGAGCTGCGGCCCAAGGAAATCGTCGACCTCTTCGAGGAAGCGTACCACCTCAAGTCGAACCCTCGCTTCAACTTGGTCGACTACAACATCACAACCGACCGGTCACAGTCACCGGCGCCCCGGAGCCGGGCAAGGCCCTCAACACCAAGAACCTCAAGCGTCGCTTCACCGGTATCATCGAGATCGACAACATCCAACACGCTATCACTGGCGTTGGCCCTGGTGCCATCTCATCTCTGGCAAATGCTCTGTCGACTCTTGGTATCGACCTCGATGTCGTCGACTACAAGGAGCACTCGATCGGTCTCGGTAGAGACGTGAAGGCCGCCACATACCTCCAGTGCACTGCGGCCGGAAGCAAAGAGCAAGTCTGGGGTGTTGGTATCCACCAGGACGTGGTACAAGCCAGTTTGATCGCCCTCCTCAGCGCAGCCTCCTCGGTACGTTTTTATCACCCCTATTCTCCCTTCAAAAGTGTCATGATCTCTAATAGTTTGGTCATACAGTTCCTGACAAGCCGTGCCGGCTCCCCCGCTCCATTCCGCCCTCAGCGCTCCAACACCCTCACAGACGAGGATCTGCAAGCCCTCGAGCATCTCGGCAGCTCCAACGTCGCGGCCATCACAGCCGCGAAGGTCACAACCAACGGCAGTGCCAAGTCCAAAGTTGATCTGGACGCGCTGACCGCCCAGGCGAACAGCCAGTAATCTCCTGTGTGTTCTACGTATCTTCGAAGCTTTTTTTCCGTCTCGATATATGGTTCCCACATTCCAAAAAAGGTGGCGAGTAGCGAAGGAAAAAACTTAGAGGCTAAAAGCAAGGCTATTTACAGTATAATTCAATTGTACAGATTGAACATAGTCTCTCTGATTCGGTTTTGGTGTTGGTGAACCAGTCTTATGATACTGTAAGGATGCACTCTGTATATCAAGTACTACAAATCTCAGCCTTCCGTGGAGGCAATTCAGCATGTACAGCAACTCTTCTTGGAGTATTATTATCTTATTATACGTAGAAGCGATGTCCTTCGGCTAAAAGACTATATAGACTATATACAATGCGGCATTTATGTCAAATGTAGACAGACACAAGCAATGCGAGGCAAGCGTGGTCTAATATCTTTCGAGAATCCGTGCACGGGCAAAGCGAGCAACAATATTTTGGCATAAAGGCGCGCATATGGGTGGGTATGTATGTACAAAACATGACTCATCGTTCATCATGGAAGTTGGGCTAGGCAGAAATGTAGAGTATTGAACAGTTCTCCACATGCAAAGAATCAGAAACTGTAAAGAGCAAAGGTGATGGTCAGAGTCAAGAACATGCAAGGCAGGCGGCAATGCAAAATGTAGGACGATAGATCAGCATAAAAACAAAATGACAGAAAGTGACAGGTCGGGGGAAAAGTTTCACGGAATCCGATGTGCAGTAGAGATATCCACTGATCGACATGGAAATCTCACGACATTTTCAGTATCTGTTACTGCTTTCAGTCAAGGTGGTTTCTCGTAGCACTGCTCAGAGTCCGATTGCCGGCACTATGACCGTATGCGTCATCGCCCCCAAGTGCCGATTGATACATCAGAGCTTCCTGCGGCCAGTCTCCCATTTTGTCTTCTGAGATCCGGTCCGACGAGTTGGGTCGAGCGGATAATGGGGCGGTGCCAATTGGGAGGCTGCTGGTTCTCGGCGGCTGTTGGGTGGGAATGGAGCCTTGTGCACGGACATCGCGGTATGGAAGAGTTTCACCGACAGCGCCTGCACCGGTGTGTTCATCCACGGGAGCAGAGCTCGTCGCATTGGCGAAATCGCCAAAATTGAAACCAAGGTCAGGGTGAGCAATGCCTGCCGAGTGACTTTCATTGTTCGAAGACCGCATTGGTGGGACAGGTTCCCCTATCTGAGGAAGAGACAGCTGCACGTCTGGAAGAGGTGGCGCAGGCATTTCACCTCCCTCTCCTTCATGTACGTCATGGTAAGGGGGCACCATTGATGCTTCCGGTTGCTCCACAAGCATCGGAGCTGGAGAACGAGGAACAGTAGCTGAATCAGCGTCCGGTACGAGAGTGGACCGACGCAGGCTGTTGCCCATGATGCTACCGGGTTTCGAGCCTTTACTAGAACGATGTTGAGGAGCTTCTGCGAAGAGGCTCATTGATCCCTCCGTATCACGAATACTGAATTGTGCGATCGTGCGCAATTTGCGGGTTACCCATGATGCCAGCACCTTTCCTCTCTGCTTCTCGCCCAAACGAGACCGAGGGAAGTCTCCGTGAGACACGAACGCCACTATGTCAGCTATGACTTGATGCTCACCGAGGATGGCGTCCACGATCACGGGGACAAGGGATGCCAAGTATGCTTTTCTTGTCACCTCGACGACAACCACTATCAAACCACCGGCCTGGAAGACACAACTAAATTGCGAGAGTTAGCACAAGACCAGTTCAATAGCATGGTGAAGTCGCTTGATCGCTTACCATCCTCCAGGCACAATGTTGCGATGACACTTCTCCACAGAGTTCTCGATGTCCATGGGGAAATGATTTAATCCATTGACCTCGAACGTTTCGCCAATTCCGCCCAGGACAAAGAGCACCTGCATCTCGACAGATTGGCCGGATGGACCGATGGGCCGAGTGACGGTGTGAAGGAAACCCAGGTCACCGGTGCGCACATAGGCAACGTTAGGGTCTCCATCCACGATCCGGCCGTTGAATCGCTCAGCATCAAATTCATTCCTGGATCCATAAAACGCCTTGGCGCAGGCGTCTGATTGAATCCATATCTCGCCATATTCGCCAACATGTGACAAGGTACAGGTTTCCGGATTCACAATAGCTACTTGTGTGTTTACCGGAACCATCCCTGAATCCTGGACAAGCAGCGCCGTCGGATCTGTGTCTGCATCGACGGGACAAACAAGCCCTTGGCGGAGAGAACGAAGGTCAAGCCACAGTTCAATCGGTTCGATGCACATATATGATCGAGTGACGACCATAGGGTTGAGCACGTGCGAGTATACTATGTTGATTGCGGTGCGGTCCAAACTCGCGGATGCGAAATGAAGGCGCACCTTTTGGTCTGTCAAAGTATTAGGTTGACAACAATTTGGACGGGGGAGAAGAGCCGCGGAGCTTACAGATATCAGTTCGTGGCCGACCCTCTGCGGAAATCATCAAGTTCTTCATTTCTTGAAGCTGGAAACCCTTCGCAGGCATGACGCTCATAGCGTAGTCCAGCATCTGGCTAGTGGCATATGTATCCTTAATCTTATAACGAGACAAGGCGACGAACAATGTCATGGGGTTTTGCGCAAAATCAACAGGCGATACAAGATAGGTAGGAGCACCTAATGACCGGTTAACATGGAAGGACTTTGCAGCCAAACCAGCGCGCGTTCTCTTACCAACGTAGATGCCCATTAAGACCGTATGAAGAAATCCAAGACCTAATGTGCTGCGAACGCTGCCTAAGACTGGTCTCGAGCTAGTCATCTGGCAGGTCTCTTTCTGAACTTTACACATTCCCAAGATGGTGTCGTGGCCAATTTGTACAGAGATTCTCCTCTGGTCCGGTGTCCAATAAGTCCAAACTAGAGCTGGCTGGTCTGATCGTAACCAAGTTTCTTTGACAGTAAAGCCAAGATCTCGGCAGCCATGAGACTGCTTCGATGGTTTGCTGGTATTGTAGATAGCAGGCACACCAATCCTGAGGACCTGCGCAGACTGTTTGATATGCTGGGAAACGATTTTTTGCCTCATGACGTGGTCAACGTCGCTATTGACGATGATTGCTTTAACTTTGAAATCATTAATCACATGGAGAAATGCAGGGGCGTCTTCTGCTAGCCGGTTCTGGTCGAGTGGAGCAATGGGAATGACAACGACACCCAGACAGAAGCAGGCATGCACGGCGTAGACATAGTCCTCCGAGTGCGTGTACATGAGGATAAGATGATTTCCAGGTCGAACTTTGACCTTGTTTTTCAAGTACATCGCTACAGCGGCGACTTTCAAGTCAAATTTCTTCCAGGTGATGCCTTTGCCTTCTTTTCCACGGCCGTCGATTGAGCAGTAAGCAAGCTCCTCTGCCTGGCGGGAGACACGCCATTGGAGAAGGTCCACAATCGTTGCGAAGTTGTTCAAAGGCGTGGAGGTGCGATCATCCATCACGACATCGCGGTAATCGACACCCGAGTACTGCTTTTCTTGCATGGCAAGCATCTCTTGCCGTGTCGCCGAAGCCAAGGGAGACCATATTCCCCCAACAGGGTCGACACCAACCGGCAGGTTCATGACCGATCGTTCAATACCGAACTTCACATGCACGCAGGGCAGAGTTCCGGCATCGAATTCTCTGCGACAGAGCATATTACCGACCTCCCGGCGTCCGTTCTTAGTCACACGGGGAAGTGTGTTCGGCGCCGTGAGAAGCACACAATAGACTCGCAAGTGATGCTCTTGATATAAGACTTCCATACATCTTTCCGCCAGAGACTCCAGGAGCACAGAATCTAGTTGCCGAGGTGGACCACCCGAAGTCGTTGGTGCGGTCGACGCCGCATATGACTCCAAAACAACAATCGGAAGATGTTCATCATTGACAAACACATCAAAGGCAGTGCAGTCATGTATCTTTGGCAAGTTCTTGAGAATACTGACAATCATGTGTTGGACGAAGAAGTAGCGATGTTCAACAATCTCCTGCCCATGCTCGACCCATTCCACCTTCTGTCGGAGGCGGTCTTCGTAGAGACCTAGTACAAAGATTTTCCCCTCAATCACGCAGCCAAGGAGACCAGTCCGTAGAAACTCTGGCTCCACCAGCACAGGGGTGGGGTTGCCCTCTTCGAACTTATAAGGCCGTGCGTGGAAGATTGCTTCCGTATGCTTGGGCAATGCCCAGAAACCGCCAGAAAGAGATGGTGAGTCAACCCATATCTCACCGATCACATTGGGCGTGCATAACAAATTGGTCTCCGGGTCAACAACGGCAAGGGTCGCATCAGGAATCGGGTAGCCGAAAGAGCCAACTCGCACAGCATTTGGCATGGTCGCTGCGTACTTTCGAGCGTCCTCGCCCATGGCCAAAACCACAACCTCATTGCTCTTCAAGGCCTCTTTATCGAGAAGTACTTCGCCCAGCTCGTTCTTGTTCTGCTCTTTTGGAGCAGGAGCAGAAGCACGTGCACCGCCACCCAGAAGGCTGCTGCCGAAACCACTGTTGTTTTCGGACTTTCTTTCCTCTTTTTTGGCTTCTGCGGCTTCTGAACGCTCGGCCGGATCCATCTCATGAGTCAGAGGGCAGCCCAAACGCTCTTCTCCTCCCAACCAGTCCCGAACACTGATCACCATACCGCCATGTTCGGGCAAACATAGCATTGGGGCAACAATTTCCCGAGCTCTGGGGTTTCTCATGGGCCGCAGCCATCTGTCAGCCAGAATTTCATGAAACTCAGCGTCGACAGTCAACGTATCGATAAGACAAAGCTTCACATTTTCGAAGTTAGGCTCAGAGTTTTTCTTGAAGTGGCGCGTGGCCATTGGATCTTGCTGGTAGTTGTACGCCGTGATCTTAAGCCCAGGGTAATCCGCAGCCATGAGTGTGGCCCTATACTTAGTGACCAAATGAGCGTACAAGCCTGGAGTTTCGACCGCTCGATCCTCAAGCCAGACGGTGGTATGGCCACCATACACAGTAAGAAGGACACCAAGAATCATCCCAATGCCTTGTCTTGGATCGAGATAGCTGATCAAGGTCTCTCCATGCGGACGGACGCTTTTACCTGAGCCAGGAACAGTTGCAATTATAGCGCCAAGACAAGCCATTTGATGCATGATTGTCCGGTGGCTCATGACTACACCGCGCATGTCCCCAGTAGGAGCCCGTGAGAACTCAATGTAAGCCAAGTCGGGAACCACAAGGGCCGGAATATCATCTTTTCTCTTTGGGTGGTAGCTTCCGAACTCATTGGTCTTCCACCATTCTACCCCTCTGGGCCAGTTCAGCTTCTGCATCGTAATATCCCTCTGGAAACTCTTGAGATTGTTCTCAGTTGTTAAAGCAAGATGCGCTTGAGTGGAGGTGAGAACCAGGTTGAGACTCTGGTAGTCTTCGAGATTATTGATGGGTACAGCAACGACCCCAGCAATGAAGCATCCCATAAGGGCAACAGCAAACTCGATGATCTCTGAATCGCGGTAAATCAGAGCCACACGGTCACCACGGTACAAATTACTCTTGTCACGGACGACTTGAGCGACTTTTTCCGCGCGACTGGCAAGTTTCTCCCAGGTGATGGAAGCGATTTCCTTGCCTTTCTGGTCTAGGACCCAGTATGCGGGCTGCTTGGGATGCACTCTAGCGCGATGCCGAAGTACTGCAGGGATGTTGTCGAAATTGGACATGAGAGTGTTCTTGTCGTGCGGGTCGTGTACCGCAAAAGGTATATCGCGAGGCTCGAGGGGAAGTAGGTGGTTGATAGTCGCCCCGTGAGGTAATTCGGAGGCAGGAATTAACGGCGGTGCCATATTTGCCGTTGGAGAAAACGTGTCCGATTGAGAGTAGCGATGGAATCCACCGCCATAGCTGTCTCTATAGTCACCCTGCTGCTGGCCCGCAAAGTCAGAGAAGTATGCTTGCTGGGAATCGAGCATCGTAGATTGGCGCGTGACCGCGCCGGGTGTCATGTCGTAAGCTCCGGCAGATTCATCCACATGCTCAGAAGCTCCAGGGTTAAAGGCATAGTTCTGGCTCAAAAGTGTTGCAGTTCGGGAGTCCTCCTGCGCGATTGGAGGCGCTTGCGGCTTCGGAAGGAAAAGGGAATCGTATGAAGTAGAGGAGGGCATCCGCTCAGGGGGCTGTAGTGCCATACTATCTCTATTGTATTGAAACGCACTATCATCTTGGATGGAGCCCTGTGTGCCCATGCTCACTCGCCGGTCGTATCCGAAGCTTCCATTACCAGGTATGTTACTCTGTGCAAAGGATTGCGAAGATGCATTTCGGCTCGCGGAATCAGCCGTAGGGGCCGAACACTGAGAATGGCCGGTGGAGCAATGTTTGAGCTGCTTATTGGCGACGACGGACTTTCTGAAGACGCGTTGATCTCAAGCGGCTTGTTTGGACCGAGAAATTGCGAAAGGAGTAGCGTGCGCCGTTTCTGGTAACTTCAGAGAGTTAGTCCTCAGTGCGAAGGATCAGACAATGGCAGTTCCTATCGCCTCATGTCTCATTGTAATTGACAATCATAGCATTCATCCAAAGAGAGTCGCTTACCCTTTCTCCGTGATATCCCCCTCCTAATCACCAATTAGCGCATTAGCCACAAATTATGATATGATACAGTCAATCTGGAACAACATCCATGATGGAGGAAACAACTGATATTGATTACACACCTCGAGTTCTCTATCGAGCTCCCGCAAAGCGGCCTGGAGCTCGGGATTCTCCTCCGCCATGGTCACAGAAGCGCTTGGTAAGAATAGATTACGACGTCTCTCATTCGGATGCGCATACGACGAGATGCGGGATGTCGTTCATATCTTCTTCGCGAAGCAGTCAAGTTTCCAACAGGAGGGGGCCGAGGCGTAACCGACTGAAATTCTTTCACCAGGTCTTATAGGGAGCCCCTTGCAAAGATGATGGTGATGCAGCAGAACGGAGGACCAGTTGCGGCAGGTTGTATCAACTTGGCTCCTCTTCCCTTTCTCCGCGCTTTGGTTTAGCCACAACGTCACCTGCCGTGGGTGCTAGGGCCAAGCGCACGCAACACACTAACCAATGATTGGGCTTGCCCATATGCACCGCCACAAATGAGAGGGGAATTGTTCCCCGTCCTTGAAATGCTTAGATTGAGGTGCGTGAGTGGATGTAGATCACGAACGATAAGAGAGAAATGGGTTCAAACATTGGTGTATCATGTCTGAGTATACTTCTTGTCGAAGTTAAACTTCTATCAATCGTGATGGCAGGTTTTCACCTGTATCCTAACCGTCTTCACCGACTAATTTTGTCCTCGGATGAACGAACTACATAGGCAAGGTACAGCGAGGAATGTACCTTACAGGATACTGTCTGAATGGACGACGCATCAATATTGTCGAAGATGAATACAGAATGACGGATCCCAATTGCAATGATTTGTCTCCATTCTACGCCGATGCTCAATGTTGAATACAAGGGCCGATAACCGCAAGGGATGATCAACAATCCAGTTTTCCATGACGAGGATTGCACCACCAATTGGAGGCCGTTCCCTCAGTGGCAATGAAGAGTCACCCCGGTCGTGCAATATGACCATCCAAGAAGTGCAGATAAATGGATCTCAAAACGTAGACATTGCATGACAATACCATTGCTTACCTTAGTACTACTATGGCAATGAAGACGGCTAGTCCGAATATGGATGAAATCGGCGGGAGCGACAAAAACTGTTATCACATGACCTCGGTGGGATGATTGGCGCCGGCCCTGCCCTAACCCACCCACAGTGCTAAGCGAAGCGCACCTCGATTTTCCTTGTTGCGAGCGAACCTTTTCAGCGGACCGACTGCTATCGACGACATTGAAGGTTCACCCAACGACACCGTCCGTCACCTTCACGAATCCCTCCCTCGACAACAGGTGCATACGGCGTCACAATGTCTGATCACGGGGAAGTCGAGGTCGAAAACCCCTCTGGGGCTTTCCAGGCTCTGCCTAAGGACGCTCTTGCCGAGATGGGCACCGTCAAGCTGTTCAACAAGTGGAGCTACGAGGATGTTGAGATCCGGGATATCTCTTTGACGTAGGTGTTTGATTCCAAAATCCCTGCGACTCAGAAGTGCTGCGAAAGGAAATTTTATTTGATCGGGTTGGGTTCCAATTTCGATGGGAGACGTTCGACTCGTACAAGAATGGAAATATCCGCGCACACAAGACTGGGAATAGAAGCTTTGGACAGCGTTGGGGTTGACAGACGCAAATTTGCTGACTCGGCTTCACAAATACAGCGACTACATCCAGATCCGCAACCCCGTCTACATCCCTCACACTGCCGGTCGTTATGCCGCTAAGCGTTTCCGCAAGGCTCAGTGCCCCATCATTGAGCGCCTGACCAACTCTCTCATGATGAACGGTCGCAACAACGGCAAGAAGCTCATGGCTGTCCGCATCGTTGCCCACGCTTTCGAGATCGTACGTGCATTTTCCGCGAGAACCTGGAACTCAGCCAGACAATGTCTGCCAGTGATAAATTACTGATACTCCGTCTTTACTTTCACAGATCCACATCATGACCGACCAGAACCCCCTCCAGGTCGCTGTTGACGCCATTGTCAACTGCGGTCCTCGTGAAGACAGCACTCGTATTGGTTCCGCTGGTACCGTCCGTCGTCAGGCCGTCGATGTTTCTCCTCTCCGCCGTGTCAACCAGGCCATCGCTCTCCTGACCATCGGTGCTCGTGAGGCCTCTTTCCGTAACATCAAGAGCATTGCCGAGTGCCTGGCTGAAGAGCTCATCAACGCTGCCAAGGGAAGCTCCAACTCTTACGCCATCAAGAAGAAGGACGAACTCGAGCGTGTTGCCAAGAGCAACCGGTAAAGGGGTAATGATTGGGCGTGTTCTCCGTTTGTTCCTGGTTTTATGTTTACTGGAGTGGACGGGGTTTCAATAAGGATTCAGTCGATTTGCATGAATCTGCGCGACTGTACATACCTCAAGACAGTCACGGAGGGAGTGAGATCCAAAAAATCAATGAAATCGGACGGCTTTCTTCTTTAGTAGTTGGAGTGCGATTATGAAAACATCCAGGCATAATAGGTTGATTACTCTTTTTCTTCCTTAGAAACCTCATCTCTAGTTTAATTTTCCCGACTCCGTGAGTGCTTAGTACTTTAGGAGAAACTGGGGGGCAGTACTTTCACCTGTCGGCTAGATTCATAGTCGAATTTCCCATTTAATCCATATCATCTCACTGGACAGAAATAATCAAGGCTGTAGAGTTAATCTGTAGGTTGCGGTGCGGAGGGTGACCGCTTATCGAAACTTTTTTTTTCTAGTTAAGTTTCGGAGCTTTCGACTTATCAAACCCCAACAACCACCACCGCTTCCCTAACCTGCAACCTCGATTTATCAGGCAATAATTCGAGATCATGGTAAAACGGAAGTTGGGGCCTTGGAAAAGGTCGAAGCTGACCTGTAAGTTGCATTCCTCGTCCCAATCTACAACTTTCGAAACCTGAGGGAAGTTTCAGTTCGCCACTAACGACTCTCTGTCTGACTTACCAGGCCCAATCTACAGCATAAAATTCGCAGAGATCCAAAGTGAGTTGCTCGCGCGCGATGTTCTGGTATTCTTATGGATTTCACAGGCCGTTAACATGAGCCCGCGGTGTCCAGGTCGTATATCGAGGACTTTCGGGCCCAGCACTACCAATATGAGAGTCATCGAGAAATTTTCATGGCAGCGCCAACGGCTGCCACTGATACCGGAATCATTTCGCTGCGAGAATTGATTGATTTTATCGCTCACGTTGCCGATTGCTATCCAACTATAACGAAGGATTTTCCCCAGCAGCTCATTGACATCCTTACCCAGCACCATCTGGTTCTGGAACCCGAATTGCGTGAAAAAATTGTCGGAAGCTTAGTGCTACTCCGAAAGAAGGAATTGCTTGATTCTGCGACGTAAGTGAACTTGAATAATGTCGTGCTTACAGGAAGATGTTGGACTAATCCAGCTGATTTTTATATAGGCTGCTACAGACATTGTTCCCTATTCTGATCACAACGCCAAGCAAAACTCTTCGGGCCCTGATTTTCCAAAAGATTCTCATGGACCTGCGCTCATCGAACGCCAAAACAACGAATCACAAGCTTAATCGGACTATGCAGACCGTCCTGTTCAACTTGGTTACGTCCGACCGCACCTCTTCCAAAGGCTTGTGGGCAATCAAACTCACGCGCGAACTATGGAAACGGCAGATCTGGACCGATGCTAAGGCTGTTGAAGTCATGAAGGAGGCTTGTCTGTCAGAAAATGAGAAAGTGATAGTTGGTGGTGTTCGTTTCTTCTTGGGCGGCGACAAGGAACGAGAGGAGATGGAAGACGAGAGCAGTGATGAGGAGACCATTGACCTTGGAAAAGTGAAACATCAGGTTGGGATTAACAAGAAGACCCGAAAGAAGTCCCGCGCGGTCGAGAAGGCAAAAGCCATAGTCAAGAAGCGAGAACGCAAGAAGAACCAACCGCATCCTCTGAACTTTTCTGCCCTTCATCTTCTGCACGATCCCCAAGGATTCGCGGAGGCGTTATTCGCGAAACACCTTCAGAACACGAAGTCGAACTTGAACTTGGAGCAGAAGCTCCTGGTTCTACAACTTGTCTCCCGTCTCGTCGGGTTGCACAGACTGCATATCATGCATCTTTACTCTTACTTTCAGAAGTATCTCACACCACGTCAGGCCTCCGTGACATCGTTCCTGGCTTCCCTTGCTCAAGCATCACACGACTTGGTTCCGCCTGATGTCCTGGAGCCTCTCGTGCAGAAGATCGCAAATGAGTTTGTCTCTGAAGCAGCAGCGTCGGAGGTGGCTACGGCTGGTCTCAACGCCATTCGAGAGATTTGCGCCCGACAGCCGTTGGCGATGAACGAAACCTTGTTGCAGGATCTTGTCATGTACAGGAAGAGTAAAGACAAGGGTGTGGTGATGGCTGCCAGAGGATTACTTAGTCTGTACAGAGATGTCGGCGCGGATATGCTCAAGAGACGGGACCGCGGTAAGGAGGCTTCTATGAGCTTGCGGGCTGGAGAGAAGAAGGAGCGCCGCTTCGGTGAGCAACAGACTGGCGAGATCGAAGGTCTTGAGCTGCTGGAGAAGTGGAAGGAGGAAGAGCGCCGAAAACGGAGAATCGAGAAGGGTCTGCCTTCTGATGCCGAAGATGATGAGGATGATGAGGCAGAAGACGATGCGGCCTGGGATAAGTGGAACATTGAAGACGACGAGGATAGCGATGATTCCGGTGGATGGATTGATGTGCAGAGCGATGCGGAAATCGAGCTGAGCGACTCAGATGATGACGAATCCCCGCCTGCGAAGAAGGCCAAGCAAGGTGATGAGGAAGAGGACAAGGCCGATTCCGAGACTGCGAAACCCGAGACGAAGAAGACGAATCTTGCGACCACCCGAATTCTCACGCCAGCCGACCTGGCCAAACTCGCAGAGCTGCGCAGCGAAGCGGCCGTCAATTCTTTACTTCCAAAGAAACTCCGCTCTGATCAGAAGAATGGGCCTTCCCGTCATGCGGATGATCCACTGACAGCCGCAGAGATTGAAGGTCTGGCAGCTCTGTCTGCCGGCAAAGCAACGCGCGAAGAGCGCATCGCTCATGCTAAAGAAGGCAAGGATCGGTCCGAGTACAAGAGTGTGACCGCACGGCGCAAGGAGCGCAAGGAAGCGCAGGGAAAGAGTACTACCAACAAGGAGAAGGCGCGCCGAAAGAATCTCTTCATGACTCTAGGAAAAGCGAAGAGCAAGGGCAAGAGAAGTCTTGTGGAAACCCGAAACGTCTTGCGTGCTCACCAGCAACGGCAAAAGCGTGGTGGCAGGAGAGGAAACGTCGGATCATAGTATATATAGGATAACATCGAGGAGAGAACTTAAGACGGCCAAAAAGTTTAGATACCAATATTCGATCTACTATTCAGACTTGAAGTTTTCGCGACCTGAGTTATACGGTTTCAACAGATGCTTTCTGCAACCATACCCTTGTCATTTCTTTTTCTTTTCCCTGGTTAGACGGAGTACATCTCTTGAGTATCAGCTCTGCTTCTTATTTTGGCCATCTCTATCCATGCCCAGAGAGTACCTATTCCAGTCTAAGGGTCAATGGACAAGCCTAGCCAACCCTGAGCCCTATTGGGATATATTGATCTATGGCAAAACCAGAACGACACGTGACATAAATGCCAGCGCGTCACCGCGTCGCGTTCTTCCCACCAATAGAAAGGGTCTCCAACCTCCCAATTTATTGCCGTAATTCGGTCCGCATACTCTCTTCATCCATATTATTGCATGCCAGTCATGTCTTGCTCTTCCCTAAGCCTCTTTGAAATCTCTCGCTGATTTCTCTGACAAACAACATACTTCTATTGGTCACTGTAGCTCTACAGTGCAACATTGATTGCAGAAACTCTCCACTCCACTGCTTTGCACAGCATTCTCCAGATCAATCACCACCATATTCCAATCAAGATGTCGCTTGCGCAGAACAGCAGCTTAGACTCCAAGCGCAGACGATTCCAACCGCCCATTACAACTTTCTTCTCTCCAGCTGTGTCCGACTCGAATAGCACAGACGCTGCATGCACCCCCCATCTTTCTCACCACCACTATGCCGCCGCTACCAATTCTCCCACCCCCATTCTCCCCGCCAAAATCCAGTCCTCCCTCCTCTCCGTCGGCATGCGCGTCCGCAAATCAGTCGCTGAAGGTTACAAGACTAAGGGTGTGAAGACGTTCGATGCACCTACCAGTACCATCACTCTCTCCGCAAAGCATGAACATTACACCGGCAGAGGCCGTCCCACCGTCCGTGGGAAACTTGCTCCTTTCTGCGGCCTCTCCAAATCATGCGACTACACGATCCAACCTCACTCTAATCCAGTCTATCGACTGTCCGAGACAACGGACTATAACGTTGACATCGTTACCGACGATGGCGATGCGTTCTCCCTTCCTCCCAGCAGTCAAGAGTCCGTTAACTCCGCCAACAATGGCCAGAAACGATCCTATGACCCTGATGATGCGGATGAATACGCCAGTGACTTTGAACACAATGTGTTTGTAACTACAGACCCCGTACCTGGTCGAACCATCCTTTGTCCGAGCTCGGGACGCCAACGGCGGCGATTCGTTGCGTTACAAAACCAAGCCATTCAGCAGGGGACTATGCAAGTTGATGACTTCGAAGAGCCAGGATTTCTTCGTAGGCGGGAAGAGGTTGATACCGATTACTTACCTGGTCGAATGGGTAGTTGTGAGATTGAAATGGGAGGGGCATGAGAGATTTGATGCTTTTCCAAGACTGAGCTGGTCTCAGTGATATGTTCAGGAGTTTGCGGCAGGGGCTGTCGAAGTTCTTCCCTAGTCTTCTTTTCCTTTCTCTGTATATGTTTACTCACACATTTGCGCTTATCGCATTTTCTGTTTCTGCCTGTCTGATATGATTCTACAAGGCAATGAATGTACAAATACCCTAGGTTCTCGGGAAGCTTTTCCTGTTTTCCATCGAGCCAAATCTGGCATGTATCTTATGGAATAGGCGCTTTGATAACCTTGCTGTATAACAGCAAGTTATTCTGCTTCAATTCACGTGCATGGTTGCCAGTCATAGTGATTATGACCTTCATCTATTTCATATGTGGAAAATGGTCAAGACAATCCTGGAAAAGAGGTCTGGAGTAACAGTAACTCGACTAAACGCACAAAGCCACATTCTACCATTTTGCTGCAAGCAGGTGTATTTAAGAGTCTAATACAAATCATTAATCAGATACATATTTTGTTTACAACTCGTCCTTGGGAGGAGCCTTGGCCTTCTCGGCCTTCTCCTTCTTCCCCTTGTCCTTCTTCGGCTTCTGGGCATTGCCCTTGCCATTCTCCTTCGCCTGGTCCCCGGACGATTTACCAGACCTGGCTGCGGCTGCACCCATCTTCTCATAGATGCGGTTCATAGTCCGTTCCAGTTCCTTGAGACGGGTGTCGATCTCTGCGACTGTCAAAGCTGGGTCGTCAGACTCTGTCAGCTTCTCCTGGAGGGCGAGCTGGGTTTCGAGCCAGGTGTTTGTGGACTCGTAGATCTTGGTGAGGCTGGAGAGGTCGGAGGGATGGAAGATTGAGTACTTCGGGCCGGTGGGTTTAGGGGTTGTGGTGGTCGACGTGGTCTCGGATGTGGACGTTGTGTAGGGGTCCTTCTCGAGGTCATCGAGAGGATCGGCGGTCGTCGAAGATGACTCGCTGGAAGATGCTGTCGAGGTAGTTGTGGACGATGAGCTCTCCGTGGATTGGGTGGAGGTTGCGCTAGAGAGACTCGAGGAGTAGAGCTCTTCGTCTTGTTCAATCTGCTTCTGCAAAATGTCTAGAATGGTTTTCGAGTTCTTCAACAAGTCTTGAAGGAGCTGGACGCGAGCCGGCCGATTCGCATTCTCCTGTTTTCTCCTCAGAGCAGGGTTGACGATATCCTTCAAAGACTTAAGTTTGGCGCGGAACTCGGATGTTGTAGCGTCAGCACCGTCGCCATAGAGCCAGTCGCTGGCAGAGGCGGTTCTCTCCTCGAGTTCGGCCAGCTGATCCGCTTTGAGCGCTTTGACAAATTCCTGGTCGTCAGCCAGATCCCGGCTCCGGTAGATAAAAGACTCCAATTCATTAAGAGCCTCCTCGCGCAGAATACGATCCCGATCCGAAGCATCGAAGGCAGACAGACGGGTCTGAATACGGGTCATTTCGCTATCCGATGGCGCGGGAGTTCCAAGGGGCGACGTCGTGAAGCTAACGGGAATCAGTTCCACTTTTATCTGCGGTGCAGCCTTCTTGGTCTCCTTGGTGGACGTTGTGGAAGCTTCGGCAGCAGACGATGTTGTCGAAACTTGGGGTTCTTCTGCTTCCAGCGTAATTGACTCTGTGGGCTCTCCTTCTTCACCGAGCGGTGCCTGTTCATCCTTCTTGGACCCAAGCCCGAAGAAACCCTTCACATCTTCAACGACGCTTCCCTTCTTTACGCTCTCGACTTCACAGCTAACGGATCCACCCGTAACTTCAGGAAGTCCGTCAACGGGACTGAGACGCATGGAAAACTTCGTAGTGATATTGGCTGGCGAGCAACCGAACTTCTCTTTCAGCTGGGCGACAGAAGCAGTTAGATTTTGAGTCTGCACACGGAGAACCGGCGACTCGACGACCTCATCGCCGGTGGGAATTTGTTGATAGAAGCTGAACTCAAAATCATCCAGATTCTTCATTGTAACCTGTTTCTCGGGACCAACTTGGGAAGTCGGAGTAAAGAGCTTCTGCTGTCTTTCCTTGGTCTCTGAGGCCCATTTGAGCAGAACAGCGTAACTCGAGACATCGCTGGCTCTAATATCTTTGACGCGGAAACTGGGGCTCAGAGCAGCTCCCTTGAATGCAGCACCAAATACCGCTGCCTCATCAGCGTTCACGCTTGTTCTGATCTTATCAGAAGATCCAGCGATGCGTTCGAGCTCCTTCTGTACGAATGGTGTGCGGATAGCGCCACCGTGGAGAATAATAGAGTCGATGTCACTGAGCTGTAGCCCAGCCGCGGCCAGAGATCGCTCAATAGGTCCTCCGATACGAGCAATGTGATCCGCAGCAAGCTCCTCGAATTTGGATCGAGTGATACGATATTTGAAATTCAAGTCTTCCTCATAGAGACTCTCAAAACTGGCGCCCGTCTCGGTATTAGCGCTCAACACTTGGCGAACCCTCTCGGCGTCCTTCCAAAGCCTTGCCATGGTTTTACCATGCGCCCGGATTTCAGCAGGAGTTGCGCGGCCGTTCAATTTCTTATCCTCGGCTAGATTTGCGACCATGTCCTGCACGATAAGATCGTTCAGAGAATCTCCTCCAAGTGTCCTGTCCCAGCCGGTTCCCAAGACCTGAACTTCCTGTACAGTCTTGTTGAATTTCCCAACATCCTTCACTGCACGACTTTGGAAGCGTATGACACTTGCCGTGGTGGATCCGGCTCCCATGTCATAGACGATATGATACTCTGGTTTCTGGCCATCGGAGACGCTGGGGAAAGTGCGGCTGGTGGCGTAGTTCAGGCCGACAGCAAGGTTATCACTGATAAGAGCGTCGACTTTCAAACCTGCCAATTCCGCTGCCAGCTCCAAGCTTCTCTTTTCCTCAGCGGTGTAGAACGAGGGATATGTAATGATCACGTCCCTAACGTCAGATCCCTTTCCGGCCAGACTGTCGGCATTACCCTTGATCTGCTTCAGCTGCATGGCTAAGAGCTCCTCAACAAGGAACGCATCCTTCCTTTCAGCCTCACCCAGCCTATTGCTGCGCAGTCCAACCGTGCCACGCTCACCAGGGGCAGCTTCAAATCTCAAGGCGGGATATCGGCTATGATAGGTCTTAACCATCTCATTGTCGCCATTCTCAAAACGAACTCCGAGCAAGGCCTTGAGGTTTGTGTAAACATCGTCGGGATAACGGGCCGCCAGAGCTAGCGCGTCACCGCCGTAGAATCTCTCAGGGAATGGAGCATTGCTTTCTCTTGTGGGTTTGAACGCAACAGCTGCCGACTCCTTTCGTTTCGAGTCTTTGGTGAGGACAATCTCAAGTGGAATGCCTGGTTTGACAAGCGCGGCCTTGATATACTCAGTACCTACGTCGACGCCGAGAACTGCCGATCCAGCAGCGGAGGTAGGAGCCGGGAAGCTGAGGAAGAAGAGTAGAAAGGGAAGGATGAGGAAGGAGAAGACTGGGGAAAGCGATAATGCTCTCAATCGATATCCAGGAGGAGCCATCTTGGGAGTATTGCTATCCCAATAATAGAGGTCAGACAATGTACCGAGCATCTGGGAGGGAAGAGTCTAGAGCATACCTCGAATGAGCAGACGCGAATTGGGGAAATGATAGACAGATAACAACAGTCCGTCAAAAAGCTTCCCCTAGCAATTATCGAAAGAAGGAACGGTGCAAAATGGGCTGTACATTCAAGTATCACGAATCACGGTAGTGGAGCTTGTCATGAACTATAGGAAATGGCCATACGTCAGTCCCGTGTGAGCGGATTGGGCTTGGGGAGGCAGGCAGACTCACAAGTCATTAAGTAGAGGAAGCCATCAAGAGCGCAGCCAAACCCTATACAAATGGCCACCTGGCAGTAAGCATGAAGAATGGGTCTGCGAAAGTTGAAGAGCCCCAAATTGTTGTTGCGGACCTCGATAAGGACACGTTTGGATGTATGTCGTGCAAACATACTCGATACGGCAATTTTGCATCTTTACCCAGAAGATCGACACCACCTTCGCAGGGTCTAGCCTTTCTACATTGGACTATGCGATTCGATCATTCAGACTTCTTAAAGTTTCATTATTCTTCAGGTATCTAGTAGTTGTCCTCAATCGTCATCGAAATCTGAATCACTCATCCATCCTATCTCATAAGATTCACGAATTTCTCCCAGGCCATTAACGAGGTTCTCTCGTTCATCGACTCCGATAACCCGCCCAGCCACAGCTTCCATAGCCTTGAGCTTTGTTGCTGTTCGCGATGAAGCAGTCAGCGCTGCAAGGACGTTGATCTTTGCGTCCCTATGCTCCACTGAGAAAATGTTGCGAGGAGAGCTGTCCAAGATAGGGTATGCCAATGGAATGTAAAAGCTATATATATTATCGTTGTCGATTAGCATCATAGAATCTCAATTAATGGCGTTGCGTCTTCACTCACCTTTCGAGCATTGGCTGAGAGGTATAAAAGCGTTCCTTGCGCTTTAATCCAAGATCCTCCCTGGATTCGCGCACCTCTTTCTCCGGACTATATCCACGGCCAACTTGAACTTGATTGAATATATGCGAATCACCGCTGTTCGGATCATCATACGAGAAGTCCAAGTCGAACTCTGTTCTAACTTTCGAAGATTCCCCTTTCGATGCTTGTGTCCCCGATCTTCTGGATTTTGAAGGGGTCGTGTATGATTGCTCATGTCCTCAGCCAGTATCTTAGATTGCAGCTCAAAAATCTTGTGGCTGCCATCTTCTCCTGCTAGAGATGTCTCAAAATCCGTATAAGAACGCAGACGAGTGGGAAGCGTCGCCGTCTCCATCGCAGAACTGATTAATGCTGAAGTCTGCCATTCCGACTGAGCGTCCAGCCTAATTGTTTTGGGGAGACGAGTCGGTGGGTCTAGAATAGGCACGTACAGCGACGACTGTGGGGAGATGGAGTGTACAGATCGTGCTTTGTTCATATCGCGCTTAAGTTGGTTGTGCTGTATGGAATAAATGGAATGAGTTTCAGTTAAGACATCTGGTAGGGAAGAGACTCACTCTTTGAACCTTGTTTCCACCTTCGATCGCCCATACCCAGACAGCTTTTTTACCAAATTCATCTCTTAGCCTATCCACATATTTTGCGGCAAATCCACCCCAAGCATCATCGGAGCTTGTGAATAATTGGAGGGCGCGCAATTGATCGCATTCTTCCGCAAAAGGTCTCAAGTCTCGGTCGAGTAGGTCATGCTCTTTGTCCAGTTCTCCAAACAAATCTTCC